GCACTGTGCTAACTAGCTGCCGCTGAAGAAAAAAATCAAGGAAATATTGGTAATTTCTGACTAATGTGAAAATTTTCCAGTCTCCACAAAATCTTTATTCGAATAACCTATACATGTATAACAGAAATCCTTGGTAACAGTGAGAGAAGATAATAGGCTTGTTTTTTGCAAATAATGTTCTATGTTTACATCTTTACAACAACAAACCTCATTGGAAAGTATAGATAATATAATATAATAGTGTGCTTCTGATTCAGTAGTGCAGAAGGTCACCAAGGACTCTCCTTTGACCAAATGTCTCCTCTAAATATGTTAAAATCATACAACATTCCGTGAAAAGTATAACAACTGAATCAACTATAATGACTCTCATTAAACTTGGATGAGGCATAAAACAGGAAGGCATGTAATTGCCAATGATATTTTCCTCTGTCCTATATAGTCCAGCAGAGTCTAAATAGAATGGAGGTTCCTTATAAATAGCGAGGTCCTCCCTATACTGCCAATTGTGAATGAATGGTAATTGCATTATGTTCTGTTATACTGCAGAGCCTCCTAAATGACATAGATAATCACTCCAAAGAGTATGGCCTCACTATCCATGTATAAAAAACCAAGTGGATGAAGAATGTGTTTTGCACAGACTATGATATTCAGTTGAATGGTCAGCCCATGGGGTTGATTATGTATACTTTAGACAAATCTTGGTATGTATATTTTATTTTATTTTTTTTATTTTTTGTTTGTTTTGTTTGTTTAGCCTTTTTTTGGCTAGGCAATGGGGTTAAGTGACTTGCCCAGGGTCACACAGCTAGTAAGTGTTATGTGTCTGAGGCCAGATTTGAACTCAGGTTCTCCTGAATCCAGGGTTGGTGCTCTATCCACTGAGCCACCTAGCTACCCCTGGTATGTATATTTTAGAGAGACTTCAGATTTTACAATGAACTGATCCCAAATGTGAACAGGAGGAAGAGAGTGCATTAGATTGCCCATTGAGAGTAGCACAATGATTCTGAAGACTCCAAGTTTCTCCATGAAATAAAGGCCCACATTTTTAATATCAATAGTCTTCCTATGATGCAACATGGCTACAAATCATGGAGTGCTTTCTATTTTCAAAGAATTTAAATTGCAGGTAATCCCAGGAGCAATATAGAAATGCACGATGGATGTGAATAAGCTACAGCATATGACAAAAGGATTGTATATCAAAAACAGTGTAGAAATATTAGGAGATGTATTACTTGAAGAAGATGAGAGACCAGTTATGTTGTAAGAGCAGGGGATAAAAGACGGATAGCCCATGTACTCAATGTGTATTCAGGCAATGTCAAGACATATAGAGGAAGACCACTAGCATGGTAAATGACCTTTCTGTGGAGGATTTGCAGGAGGACATGAAGAAGATTTGGATGGGATGATATATGTATTAGTGGTTATCTGCACCATTGGAGGGTGTGCCAACAGTGATAAAATTACAGATCTTTTGAAACACGAAAGCATTCCAACATTTGATATCCTCTTGCTAGTTTCATTTAAAATGCTTTTGGGATGATATGGTTGTGTTTTGTCTCATTCCAAGTCTTCTATAAACGTGTTTTTGCTCCTACTGCTTATTGTCTGTTTTATAAGGCTACACTGAACTTAAATTTATGCCATGTTTTTCTGTATTTTTTACGAATGAATTTGTACTCTACTCTGGCATTGCCCTTGGCTACCATGTTTTACCATCTGTCAAAAAGAACAACTGTCTGGCATTTTCTGGGTTCTTTCTGCCTTCTCATTATGGTGACTCCTTTAGGTTAGCAAATGGTCTCCTTATCTTTATCCTTTCTTCTAATCCAGTCTCTCATGGGTAGGTACTGTTTTTACTTAGCACAGTTTCTGGCACATAATAAGTACCTGTTGACTGATTGGTTGACTAAACTAATGTTGATTTTAACCTTTAGTGTAACTAGTGGATAGTCTGACTGCACCGAACTAGCTGGCTCTTATATGATTCCAATATTAGTAATCAGTGTTTTTCCTATGTGGCAGTGGATGCCATTTTCATTTTTTTTTGTTGTTATTCATTGTTTGCCATATCCAGGACCTTCTGATTCTCTTCTAAAATATAGTTTTTTTATATATAGGTGTGAAATTTCAGAGTACTTTACAAATGAAGCACCTAAGTGTGGTAAAGGAGTCATTTGGCCAGCTGATAAGGGGCTACACAAGTCTTTGGCTTCTCATTTCTCAAAACTGAGATGCATTTTCCAATATATATTTTGCCTTTCCCAGTGCCCACCCACCTTTGCTTTGGAGTTTTTGGGTGTCAACATTTATTTTGAATTGATTTGGAGGATCTTGTCAAGTTCTTCGTAGAATTTCTCCACCTTTTTATTATCTGTAACAGGTGTTGGTACACGAGCTAAAACTGATCTTTTTGTTTATACTTATTGTGAGCCTCATAAGAGGAGATGATCAAGTGTCCCTGAAATGATGTTTCTTGTTGCCTTTGTACATACCAGATTAGATTAGCTAAAGCATTTATTAAGCTTTACCATGGCAACTAGATGGCACAGTGGACAGAGCGCTGGGTCTGGAATCAGGAAGAACTGAATTCAAATCTAGCCTCAGACACTTATTAGCTGTGTGATCTTGGGCAAATAACTTAACCTCTCTTAAGCCTCAGTTTCCCCAACTGTAAAATTGGGATAATAACAGCTCCTACCTCCCAGGGTTGTCTTTAGAATCAAATGAGATAGTATTTGTAAAACACTTAGCACAGTGCCTGGCACATAGCAGGTACTATATAAATATTTTAAACTTCCGTTATTGAAGATTATTATGTCAGTTTGTCATTGCACAAAGGTCTCGTATTTAGAGAACCTACTAAGGTTTACGGATGATTTGATTTTTCTCCTCACTGTCACTTAGGAAGTAGGAGAGTGTCACATGGGTTTGAGAATTTTATTTTTCTTTGTTCCTTTGCCTGCTAGGGCCAAATAATTCTTTATGTAGTGGCCAACATAATGGTTATGAACCATACTTATCTGGGTTGGTCCTCAGACAGCATACTCAGCCTGTCACTTGAGGCCTCACTGGGATCAGTATGAGCTTACACCTCACTGGCATAGTGCCATCTTCATGCCATTGAGACATTGGAATAGAACTTTGTGGAGGTAGGGTTCTTTTAAAACAAACCCTTTTCCTTGACCCTGACATTTTTTCAAACTTATCATCCTATCTCTTGTTTTTCATTGTCAGATTTCTAGAAAGAAGAGTCTATACTTCTTTTCTCCACTTCCTCACTAGTCACTCATTCCTCAACCCTTTGTAATACGGCTTCCCTCCCCACCATCTACTGGAACAATTCTCCCCAAGGTCATCCAGGGCCACCACATTGCCAAACTTAATGTACTTTTCTCCTTTGCCCCAATTTTTAATCTCATTACAACATTTAATAGTTGATTATCACCATTTTCCTTCTTGTCCCGTTAATACCTCTGTTACATTATCTTCTATGATTCTTCATTCTTCCTACCTCTCTGACCACTTATTTTTTGGCCTCCTTTGCTGGTTACTTAGCCTTCTCCCATCCCTTCAAGTCCTATCTTTGTCTGATGGTTTGTCACTCTCTGCATTGCTTACCTTGGTCAACTCATATACTCATATGGCTTCAACAATCATATCTATGGAGATGAACCCCAAGTGTCTAAGACTTTAGGCTGCAGATGAGTTGAAATCTTATTATTGGAAGGAGTTTCACAAACTGAGTTTCTTTCACTAATGAAATCACAGATGTAGACCCAAATTAAAAAAAAAAAACTTCAGAGTAATCTTGGATTCTTCTCTCTCCCTAAATCCTTAACATGATCAGTTGGCCAGTTATCTCATTTCTGATTTCACAAGCTTCCTGATATCCAACCCCTCCTTTCTCTTTCTATGGCAAATGCTCTTCTCTTTTCTGACTTAGAAAATAAATCCATTTAATTGGTCTTCCTGACTCCAGTTTATTCCTTTTACAATCAATCCATCCTTTACATTACTGCCCTTTGCAAATGCTCTGCTCTGATAACATCATTCCTCTAATAAAAAACAAAACAAAACTGTAGTGGCTTCCCTGTGCCTGCCAATACAATATAAACTCTGATTCAAGCACTCAAAGGGCCTCCAAATTTGGTTCCAACCCCATTTTTCTAGAGTTATTTTATACAATACTCCATCATGCATTCTGTAGTCTAGCCAAACTGGAATATTCACCATCCCCTATTCCTATCTCTCCTTCTCATTCTGTCTTCTCCTGTTTCTCTGCTTTTGCTTATATCATTATCCCTGCCATGAAAGGGTTCACCTAATCTTTATTGAAATCCCTCATTCTCTTCACAGTCATGGTCAAACTCAGGTACTACATCCTTCATGAAGTCATCCATTCTTTTCCCTCTTCCTCATTCCGAGGTGAGTTTTCATTCCTTAAATTACCCATAGCACTTTGCTTAGATCTTGCCATTGCCCTTAGCACTTCTACTTGTTATCAGTCATTTATGGTTATGCCTTTCCCCCAAGTACTTTCCATTAGATTATAAACTGCCCTTGAAAGCAGGGATATGTCATATCTATCTCTGTATACCCACCACCTTGAATAGAGTAAGCACTTATTAAAGGCTTGCTGAATTTAAATGACCATCACATGAAGGTAGGAAGCTATGGGAGTATGGTAGTCGTGGAGACTAAACAGTTACATATGTACTCCCATTACATAAACACTGCGGCTGAAATGTCTATTGCTGGCAGGCACGAAACACTGGCAATGTAGCTTACTGCGGTAGGGTCTCCTGCATGCCTACCAGTACCCCATTAGCCTTGGGGTCCTATTCTCTCCCTACATCTTCATTCACCTTAAATTATGAGGTTTTCAGGAAAAGTAACTATACTTATATCCATTCTGTAGTAACAGAGCAATGATAATGCCAGTTATAGTAGATCAACTCAAATGATAATAATGGTTATATACATACACGTTCTCCTTTGGGTCCTCTGTCTCCAGGCTTGCCCATTGGGCCCTGAAAAAAATATCATAATTGAGACACATATTTGCCAACATCTGACTGGTCTAAACAGTATTAAGTTGTCTGCAGGTGACTATAAATCTGATTTTAAATGTAGTTGTCATACCTGAGGACCTGGTGATCCATCTTTTCCATTTATTCCCTGTAAAAAGAGAGAAATCATTGTTACCTGTATCTGGGTGTACAGGGAAAGGAAAAGAAAGCATAGGGAGGGAAATGTTTCAATAGGGTGACTCACACTTAAGGGAATTGTTCTGTGACCTTGTCAATTAGAACCTAGATCATACTGATGAGGCAGTATGGTATAATGGAGAGGGCCATGGCCTTGGAGACAAGAGACCAGGGTTCAAATTCACTTGTTAGCTGTGCAACTTTGAACAAGTTCCTCTACCTTGAGGAGCTCAGTTTCCTCATCTGTGAAATGGGGACAATAATAATGTGTTATATTGATTGTGAGAATGAGTTAGGTTGGTTGTGAGAATGAGTTAGGTTTGTTGTGAGAATGAAATGTCATAATCTATGTCAAGTGCTTTGTAAACTATATATATATACATATATAAATATATATGTAATATATATTCACACAATATACATATGTGTATACACATAATAAAAAATGTTAGCTATTCTTATTCTTATTACTTGCTAGTTACAGATCCCAGTGCATAAGATTCCTTGTAAAATCTGGATGCCCCCAGGTAGTTGCTATGGTAGATTTTCATGGTAATGTGAGTCAAAGCACCACTGTCCTCTAATATATTCCTGTACAGAGCAACTCTCATTAAATGTCTTCAATTGAAACTCGAAACAAGTTTCACTGTATGGTTGGAGTAAATTCCTGCCATGAAATAACCTGCCAATCAAAAGATGGCTTCATATCTCTCAGTAGGCACATGGTGAAGGAAGTAGGAGAGAACCCTTAATCACTGTCATTGAGAGTACTAATAAATGCTTTTTTATTAGAAATTGTGAAGTCTCCTGAACTTTGCAGGGCTATTCTTGAGGTGATAATAAAGCAGAGCCCCACTAGTAGATTTATGAGATTGGGAGGACTATTGTCTGGGAGATGTGAGAAGCAAAAGCACTTGGGGTCAAGTCAAATACCTAGAGTCCTAACTGCAGATGTGTTTTTGAGATTTGATTTGAAGAGGGAGAGATCAAGGTAAGGAAAATGATTTCTTAGCCAGCAGGCAATTGCATGGACATGCTCCTCTGAAAAGCCTAAGAGACCTGAATTGTGCCAGGATGGATTCTATGAGGATGGAAGTGCAGACAACTGTGTGTTTTCACTGCTGTAAATTACACTAAAATCTGTCATGGTTGATAAGCCAACCAAAGTCTCTCAAGCTCTCAGAAACATCCTGGGAATGATGGTGAGTACTTTAAATAAGAACATGTTACTTGAAGTATAAGGTTCACAGAATTTATTATATCAGAAACACAGGCAAAGAAGATAAAGCTGATTAAGGAGAGGATGTGAAAGGAGCCAATTCTGTCACTTGGAGAAAAGAAGATAAATCTAGCGTAAAAATTTAATTCACTGTCTTCAAAGATCATGTTAGCCCTCCTTGTCTTTTGTAGCTCACTAAAGAAAATCTGTATACTGTCTTTCTTCTTTCCTGCAAACATTTATTAAATGCCTACTATTTGCAAAGCATCATGTTAAGCAGGAAGTCCTGGGACTCTTGCTCTTAATCCGCCGCCTGTAGAATTGTTTTTCTACTGATGGGTGTGGATTTGTACAGACTGGTTCACGTTATCTCACCCAATTTCCTCTGAGAACTATTGGCATTCAATCTCTAGATTACTGACAGGAGTAAAGGATATACTCTGTGGTTCTGAAACAGAGCAAAAGTAAGTGGCCCACAGGGGGACTGAATTTATAGCCTTTGGGTATTGGTTTGTTGCTCTACAACTGAGCTAACTAGCTTGAGTCCAGCTAAAATTCTCAGTTCTGACATTCTATGGTATCATGAGTTGATGATTCTCAAAGGCTTACCCTTTCTGTGCCTCAGTTTCCTCATTTGTAAAATGAGCGGATTGGGCTCAACGGTTTCAAAGGTCACTTTGAGTTCTAGTCAGTAAATCAGTCAACAAGTATTTATTAAGTGCTTATCATGTGCCAGGCACTGTGCTACTGCTGCTGATGCAAAGAAAGAAAAAGCAGTTCCTGCCCTCAAGGAGCTTATATTTTAATGTGATGTAATATGTAACATGTAATAACATGTAAATAATTAACTATATATAAGCTATATAGTAGATGGAAAGTAATTTAAGGGGGAAAATACTAGTAACTGAGAGGACAGGGAACTGTCCCTTGCAGAAGATGGGACTTGAACAAATTATGGTATATGAATGAACATTATTGTACCATAAGAAACAATGAAGGTGATAGTTTTAGAGAAACCTGAGAAGACTTGTATGAATTGACACAGAGTGAAGTAAGTAAAACTAGGAGAACAAGTTATAGTATAACAATAGCAATGTAAAAACAAACAGATTGGAAAAGACAAGAAGAACTCTGATGAATGCAATGACTTAAGTTGAGAGTTAAAGGAAGCCAGGTAAACCAAGAATAAAGGGAAGAAACAGCACGTTCCAGGAATGATGGACAGCCAGTGCAAAGGCACAGAAAAGGGTGATGGAGGGTTGTGTTTTAGGTCTGTGCAAGTAGGTCAGTGTGTCTGGATCATAGACTAAATGAAGGGGAGTGAAATTTTCGAATATTGGAAAGATAGGAAGGGGACTGGTTATGCAGTTCTAAGTCTACAATCTTATGAAATGATTTTCTCCTTTACCTTTCTCTCCTTCAAACTCTCATTTCCAGTGGAAGGATATTATAATATTTTTCTTAAAGAAAATACTTGCCTTAGTAGAGATGTTTGCTATAATGTCATTTTGATGCTATATATTAGTAGTAACACACTCCTTCAAGATACCATGAAACAATATGTGTCAAGCTAGTGATTTACACAGACAGTGTAATAATAATAATAATAATAATAATAATAATAATAATAATAAACGGTACTTATTTATCTAGTGCTTTAAGATTTGCAAAGCACTTTACATATGTTATTTCATTTGATTCTGAAAACTGAGATTGAGAGAAGGAAATTGATTGCCCAAGGTCACATAGCTGGTATGTGACCTTATGGTATGTACCTTATGGTAGGTCTTCCTGGCTCTGAGCCAACACTCTTTCTACCATCAAGCTTAGTTTGTCTAGCAATGATAAAAAAGGGAAGTAGGACAACAACAAAAAAACTAATTGACATTTAAGCTTTTTGCCTAAGATCCAAGTGGGATGTCTATGATGCTCCTATCTTCCTATATTTGATTATGTGGCAAAACATTCCCCACCAAAACTCCTAAGAGTGTTTGAGGATTAGGGAAGAATCACTAAATCCTTAGCACATTTTGATAAAACTGGACGCATTCCAACACCATATCTGGCAACAAAGTTAGTAACTCATGCTGAATGGACTTACTCAGGGCTGAATCACCAAATGAAAGGTTCTTTGCTGAATTTGGAATAATTTTCTTGATGGTTTTCTTATTTAATCTTAATTCTCATTTATTCTCCTAAGAATCATACCTATTGCATCTCAATAGATGCAGAAAAAGCTTTTGACAAAATACAACACCCATTCCTATTAAAAACACTAGAGAACATAGGTATAAATGGAGTCTTCCTTAAAATAATAAATAGCATCTACCTAAAATCTTCAGCAAGCATTATATGTAATGGGGACAAGCTGAAAGAATTTCCAGTAACATCGGGGGTGAAACAAGGATGTCCATTATCACCACTGTTGTTCAATATCATACTGGAAACACTAGCTTTAGCAAAAAGAGAAGAAAAAGAAATTGAAGGTATTAGAATAGGCAAAGAAGAAACAAGCTATCACTCTTTGCAGATGACATGATGTTATACTTAGAGAATCCTAGAGAATCAAGTAAAAAACTACTTGAAATAATAAACAACTTTAGCAAAGTTGCAGGCTATAAAATAAACCCACATAAATCATTGGCATTTCTATATATTACCAACAAAGCCCAACAGCAAGAGATAGAGAGAGAAATTCCATTTAAACTTACTGTAGACATTATAAAATATTTAGGAGTCTACCTCCCGAAACAAATCCAGGAACTCTATGAACACAATTACAAAACACTTTTCACACAAATAAAGTCAGATTTAAATAGTTGGAAAACCATCAGTTGCTCATGGGTTGGCTGAACTAATATAATAAAAATGACAATTCTACTTAAGCTAATTTACTTATTCAATGCCATACCAGTCAAACTACCAAAAAATTATTTTATAGAGTTAGTTATTTGGAAGAGCTAAAGGTCCAGAATGTCAAGGGAACTAATAAAAACAAATGCAGGGGAAGGTGGCCTAGCCATTCCAGATCTTGAATTGTATTATAAAGCAGCAATCATCAAAACTGCTTGGTACTGGCTAAGAAATAGAGTGGTGGATCAGTGGAATAGGTTAAATATGCAAGACACAGTGGCCAATGACTATAGTGATCTATTTATTATTTGATAAACCCAAAGACCCCAGCTTCTGGGATAAGAACCCACTCTTTGAAAAAAAAACTTCTGGGAAAACTGGAAAAGAGTACAGCAGAAACTAGGCATAGACCAGAATCTCACACCATATACCAAAATAAAGTCAAAATGGGCTCATGGTTTAGATATAAAGGCTGATACTATAAACAAACTGGGAGAGCAAGGAATAGTTTACCTATCAGATCTATGGAGAACAGAAGAATTCATGACCAAACAAGAGATAGAGAACATTACAAAAAGCAAAATAGATAATTTTGATTACATTAAATTGAAAAGTTTTTGCACAAAGCCAACGCAACTAAGATTAGAAGGAAGGTAGAAAATTGGGAAAGAATTTTTACAACCAGTCTCTCTGATAAGGGCCTCATTTTTAAAATATATAGAGAATTAAGCCAAGCTTATAAGAATACAAGTCATTCTTCAATTGATAAATGGTCAAAAGATATGAAGAGGCAGTTCTCAGATGAAGAAATTCAAGCCATCTATAGTCATATCAAAAAATGCTCTAAATCTCTATTGATTAGAGAAATGCAAATCAAAACAACTCTGAGGTACCACATCACACCTATCAGGTTGGCCAACCTGAGAAAACAAGAAAATGATAAATATTGGAGAAGATGTGGGAAAATTAGAACACTAATGCATTGTTGGTGGAGTTGTGAACTGATCCAACCGTTTCGGAGAGCAATTTGGAACTATGCCCAAAGGACTATAAAAATATGCATACCCTTTTACCCAGCCATAGCACTTTTAGGGCTATATCCCAAAGAGATTGTACAAATGGGGAAAGGACCCATATGTACAAAAATATTCATAGCAGCTCTTTTTGTGGTGGCAAAGAATTGGAAATTGAGAGGATGCCCATCAATTGGGGAATGACTGGGCAAGTTGTGGTATATGAATGCAATGGAATACTATTGTGTAATGAGATACTATAAGAAATGATGAACAGGCTGAGTTCAGAAAAACCTGGAAAGACTTGTATGGTCTGATGCTGAGTGAAGTGAGCAGAACCAAGAGAACGTTGTACACAATAACAGCCACATTGTGTGATGACCGATATTGATAAACTTAACCCTTCCCAGCAATACAAGGATCTAATACATCTCCAAAGGCCTTGTGATGGAAAATGCTATCCAGATTCAAAGAAAGAACTGTGGAATTTGAATGCAGATCAAAGCATACTATTTGCTATTTTTTTTCTCTTCTGTTGAGTTTTGTTTCCTCTTTCTGGTGGTTCCTCCTATTGGCTCTAATTTTTACTTACAACATCACTAATCTGAAAATATGTTTAATAAGAATGTATATATATAGCCTATATCATATTGTGTGCTGTCTTGGGGAGGGTGGTGGGGAGGAAGGGGGAGAAAAATTTTAAACTCAAAAGCATATGGAAGTGATTGTTGATAAATCAAAATAAATTAATAAAAAAAGAATCATACCTATTGGAAATTGGTAAACAAAATAAAAAACAAACAAATAAGCAAATCAACATTTAAAACTTACTGGTTTTCCTGCAGGTCCCTCAGGCCCAGGGAAGCCAATATCTCCAATAGGCCCTCTTTCACCCTTAAAGACACACACAGAGGCACACACATTTGTATGTGAATAATTGTTGACTTCAAAACATGTATTGAAAAGAGTTCAGATGCTAAAGAGGTACTCACTGGTTCTCCTGGCACTCCTGGAGGCCCTGGGGCTCCTGACTTTCCCTGGAAAAGAAATTAAAGAGAAACATTATATTCATTATGGCACAGAGAGCCACTCCTCATTGTATTTTGAAGGAGTACATTTGCCTATGGGATTACCATCTGACCATTTCAGGCAGCTAGGTGGCACAACTTGGTAGAGTGCTGGAACTGGAGTGAGGAAGACGGGTTCAAATCCAATCTCAGACACTTCCTAGCCATGTGACCCCGGGCAAGTTATTTAACCTATCTGAGACTCTTGTTTCCTCACTTGTAAAAGAGGGATAATAATATAACCTAACTCCCAGGGTTATCGTGAGAATAAAATGAGATGACATTTAACAAGTGCTTTACACACTTTAAAACACTATATCAATGCTATATCTAGCTATTGGGCTCTGAGGTTATAGATCCCAAAAGAGAGTTACGAAGGAAGTGAACCTGTTTAAAAGACAATGAGACTGAATTTTATATAAACATATTAGAACTTATCCAGCTAAAAGGATATTTTCCTTCTTCAAAGTAGTCATTTGTTTAGTTGTTTTCAGTTGGGTCTGACTCTTCGTAAACCCATTTGGTGGTTTGCCATTTCCTTTTCTAGATCATTTTACAGATGAAGAAACTGTAGCAAACAAGGTTAAGTGACTTGCCCAGGGTCACACAACTAGTAACTGTCTGAGGTCAGATTTGAACTCAGGAAGATGAGTTTTCCTAATTCACGGCCCAGTGCTCTATGCACTATGGTGCCATCTAACTGTCCTCAAAGAAGTAACCTTAGAAGCAATTCCAATGAATCTGCTATTTGCTCCAAATCTGTTTAGAATTCCTCCCTTGGAATTGCCTTTGGAGTCCATTCAGATCCTACAAATATGCTTAATGTCCCTTTGGGGAGGGACATTATATCCACTCTTATTAAGAGTCAATTTAGGAGAATAATAAACTGTGTAAGTATGTTTCTGGCCAAAGGGGGAAAAATAAAAAAAAAACCAATAAGGTTACTTTTCTTTCTTTCTTTCTTCTTCTTCTTCTTCTTCTTTTTTTTTTTTTTTTGCTGAGGCAATGGGGGTTAAGTGACTTGCCCAGGGTCACACAGCTAGTTAAGTGTCAAGTGTCTGAGGCCGGATTTAAACTCAGGTCCTCCTGACTCCAAGGCCGGAGCTCTAGCTAGTGCGCCACCTAGCTGCCCCCTAAGTTACTTTTCTTGTATGACTTATAAACTTGCTTTTATGGCACTTCCAAAAAGGGAGTTCCAAAAATGTCCTGATCAATGGCAGTTTGGTTGGATCAAGTAGCCTCGGAAGTGTCTACTCTGAAGAAGAATTCCTATTTAATGTATACATACTAATACTATAAGCTCCATTAAATAAATAAATGGGAAGGAGGTAGGAAAGGGGGTACAGACTGTTATTCTTTGGAGGCTCTCCAGTCCCTAGCATAATGTCTCATACACAACATTCTCATTATCTCTCTCTTTCTCTCTCTGTCTCTCTCTCTCCATAAGTATATACATATATATTTTAATTGAATTGATATGTTTATTAAGAAAATCAACCTCATCATGTTATCACTATTTGTTTACCTATTTCTAATCTTTTATTTTATTTTAGTTGTTGTACCAAAACTGTGATTTCATTGGTATAAAGAATTCCAAACAAGGAACCTCCTCTCACAATGCAAAGCAGGCAATATAGAGTTACCTGGAACACAGAGAGATTAAGTGACTTGTCCAAGGTCATACAACCAGGATGTGTCCAAAACAGGGCTTGAAACTAGGTCTTTTTGACTTTAAGGATAGCCCTTTCTCTACTATTCCTTGTTCCCTCTCTTGCCTGAGTATAAAACAATTTAAACAAGTGTTGTGACCAAGGAGGCTCCACAATGGATTCAGATTGAGGATGTATTCTGATCCTCTTGATATGTTATGTGTAGCTCAATGGAGTAATGGAGAGTGGGAATGGCTCTGGTCCTACCAGGTAACCTGCCATATTTCTCTCTGCATCTGTATAGCTGCCTGAAGTGCTATGTTCCCAATGACTCCTCTGTGAAGTTATCATGAACTTACTCTGCAGGGGCACCTAGCAAAAGGATAAATGGTCCTTTATTCATGAAGCGTGACCACAAAATTTTAATTAGAGCAACCTGAATGAAGACTAGAATGATCTCCAGGGTTCTGCTAAATGATTCCAACCTTTTGTGCTGTACTTTCTATTCATTTGAGGAGACCTTGAATAGATTAAAATATCTGACACCAATGAGCAACAAAAATGATTGAGAGGATTGAAGGACTAATTTATGAGGAAACATTAACAGTAATAAAGCTCAGCTAATGAAACTGGGCTAAGTGAAATCTAAGGCGGGTTATAGCTTTCTGCAAGCAACTTGAAGTGAATGAACAATGGGGCTACCAGATATCATCTCTAGAGCGCCAAGGATTATAACTAAGGACTAGGAGATAAAATAAAGAAGAGAAAAGCCTAATTTGCATTTGTAAATTGCAGTTGTGTACTTATATATTGCTTATCATCAGTAGCCTTTTAGAGCTTCGGAAGTTCAATAGAATGAACATGGAAAAGAGAGAGCATATTAATGTACAAAATAGAAAATGAAGGAAAGAGAAGAAGAAAAAAAGACAAAGAATGGAGAGTCACATGGTGGTAATAACGTGGGATCATATAAACCCCAGTCTGGTCAGAGATGATATAGATCCCTAATGGAGAGGAGGAAAAAGTATGTGCATGAACATTGTAGTAATAAACACAGAAGCATCTGCATTGTGAACTGTTTTTGATTAGAAACCAGTTTTCCTTGGGAAATAGGGGAATCTTTACTAAATTAAGAACTTGAAAATATATTGAAGGGGATAATTTTACAATGAAAGAGGGAAAATGGTGTCATTATGTCCTGGCAACCAAATTGGTATCATAATTTTTCTTTCATTCTTAACCTTCATTAATTATCTTGCCATAAACTTATAAGTTTATCAACAAAATATAATTTACAATAATTTCGCCTCCTGTGAAATACAATAAACTCACCGGTATTCCTGCTATTCCTGGTGAACCAGCTGGGCCTCGATCTCCCTGACCAGAAGAAATAAAAAAGATTAAATCCTTTCAGAAACTTCTTTGTAGAACCATAAAAATCAAATGATTGATGAAAGTGTGGGAGAAATGCTATACTTAGGTATGAAGTTACTGGTTAAAATAATCTTCTACATCTGGTTAAAACTTAATAGATGGTAGCTGGGGGTGCAGCATATATGAAAAAATAATTAACATGCATAACCAGAGATGAGACTCGACAGTTTATTGTGTCTTAGAGCTAGGAAGATTATGGTGTTTAAGATCTTCTTCTGGCATACATGAGCTTTATAATCCTAGACAAGTCATTTAATCTCTTCGTGCTCCCAGATAACTCTTGAAGATTATAAGTTGTGGATGAGTTACCTATGGGCACCAGTGGAGAGTGTTTTCTTATGAAGAATACCTACACTGATGAAATCACAAGTTTAGACCCAGCTCTGAACAATAATAACACAAATAAAACCAACCAGGTCTTTCCTTTTTTCTTAGTAAAGAAACGAAAATAAAAACAGTGGCTTTAATGAAACTAAGAATTCAAGTTATTACTGCTCCGATATGAATATTTAAAAACAAGAAGCTAAACATATTGTGGCTAAGTTTAAGCTATTAGAAATATACTGATTAAAAGTGATGTAGGTAATGCTAAACAGCATTAAAACAATGGCTATGTTATTTTTTTATGTGCTTAAAAAAAGACATTGCCATTAGTCAGAAGATTGAACATTTTGAACATCTACCTGCACAGAAACTTATCTTTCTGCATGGAGGGTGGAAATGAAAATATCAACAACTAAAGATGTTCTAGCTATATGCATTTCTCCAGTTGGAAGAAAACTTAGCTTGAATTGTTCTTAACAGTACACTGGTTCAATTGTTCTCATGAGAGTCATTTGAAAATGAGGTAATCTGGTATCCTAGGTAACTTTCACTGTCATCAGCAGCTGACTATACTAAAAAAGGAATGCTGGTGACCGTAAGTAGGATGATAGGATTTTTAGTGCCCAAAGAAATCTTAGAGTGCACTGAATCCAACTCCCTAATTTTACATTTGAGGAAACTGAAGCCCAAAGTGGTTAAATAACTTGCCCAAAGTGACATAGTTACTTAGTAGTTGAGCTGGAGCTAGGGCATACATCTCCTGACTCTTACTCCAATGATCTTTCCATTACACCTTTGAGTCTGCTCAAAGTGTGGCAAGTTCATAAGTGAAGGAAGAAACATGGAATGGGTAGAAAATGGGAAACTGGCTGCTTTCATGAACTCATGTTTATTTACCACTTTCTGGATTCATAGAAATATAGTATTGACTGAGTGATGTAGGCATCATCTAATTTGCTACATATACTAGTAATTAAATGTAGGCATCTAGGTGGCACAGTTGATAGAGAGGTAGATCTGGAGTCTGAAGACCTGAGTTCAAACTCTGCTTTGTACAAACCAGCTGTGTGACTCTAGATGAATTACTTGATTTCTCTCATCCTCAATTTCCTCATTTTAAAAATGAGGATAATAGTAATACTGACTTCTCTGAGTTGTTGTGAGGATAAAATGTGTTAATATTTATGAAGCATTTTGCAAACCTTAAGATGCTATATAAATTCTGTTTTTATGGTTATTATATAGACCTCTCTAAAAAAAGCATAGTCCTTCTCTAGGAAGAACAAAAATTGGATGTATCTTTTAAATATTATACTCTGAGCAACTAGTTTTAAGTTATCAAGAGTGGAAACTGCTGCTTCCAAGTTAATGAGTGATAATGGAAAAATAATTAATTGAAACCCTTTTGTAATTTAGTGAGAGTTTCTCCTTCTAGTTTTCTATACTACACATAGATATCAGTGTTTATGGACTTATGTCATATAAATGTTCCTTCTGGAGAAGAAATCTGATATCTACAGGAAGGCCACATCACTCTTAGTCACTCCTATATGGTAAACAAACATGAGTTCATGAAAGCAGCCACATTTCCCCCACCCCCTTATTTCAGCATTCACATGTATGGATATATACATATGTATGTTTGTATGTACACATATAATATACATATATATGGGTCACATATATAGTCATAATATATATAGTCACATATATGTGTACACACATACATTTGGAACCCTTGTTTAAATAGTTTCTCCTATAGACACTTAAGATATTGCTACTGATTCTGTTCCCTCTCCCTTAGATACAGTAATAATATCAGATTCTGTAATTAATGTTGTTTAAACTGGAGTTCCATATGTATATATAAATATGACATGTGTATGTATACATATATAACATATTTGCATGTATATTACATATGTGTTAGAAGCCCACAAAGTTTCTGTATCTAGAAGGATAACCTCTCCTTAATAAGAGTTTTTAACTAGCTATTTTTCTATTTTTGTTGTTGTTCAGTCATTTCAGTCATGTCTGACTCTTTGTGACCCCATCTGGGATTTTCTTGGCAAAGATACTGGAGTAGTTTACCATTTCCTTCTCTAGTTCAATTTACAAATGAGAAAACTGAGCGGCCAGGGTCATACAGCTAATAAGTGTCCGAGGCTGGATTTGAAATAAAAAAGAGGAGTCTTCCCAATTCCAAGCCCAGTACCCTATCCACTGTGCCACCTACCTGCCCTATTTTTCTATTTTTGTCCATTAATTTGGAAGTAGAAGTTTCCACTTTTCATACTTAATAATGTATGACTGGGAACTTAGAATACACTATTTCAAGGGTACTTCCAGTTGTTTGTTTCCCTGAGAGAAGAATTTTGCTTTCTGCAGGAAGAATTACATCATACATGTACATATACATCATTGTCATCATCATCATCATCATCATCATCATCATCATAGCTAGCACTGATATAGCACTTGAAGATTAGAAAGGGCTTTATAAATATCAAATTTTGTCTTCACAACAAGCCTGGGAGTTAGGTGCTATTATTATCCTTGTTTTATATTTGAGGAAACTGGAGCAAACAGAGATTAAATGACTTTCCCAGGGCCACATAGCTAGTAGGTATCTGAGAATGGATTTGAACTCAGTTCTTCTTATCTCCAGATCCTATTCTCTATCCACTACAACACCTAGCTCTATATGTATATGAGTATGTATATGGACATGTACATGCATATATGTATATGTGTATATATATATATACACACACACATATATATGTACATATATGTATATCATGGGATAAAGATAGTGTCTGGACCTGTAATTTCATTAGTACAAGGAACTCCCAGATGAGAAAACTCCCTCTACCAATGTTTGGTAGATGTCTGCAACATTTAGTCTTAGAGAATTGCCTAGTACACTGAGAGTGACTTTTCCAGAGTCACATAGCTTGGTATGTGTCAGAGGCATGATTTGAACTCAGGACTTCCTTGCTTCAATAATCAGTATGCTATGGGTTCTTGACCTCTTCTATGTCATGAATCACTTTGTCAATCTGGAAAAGTTTTAAGGATCCCTTCTCAGACTAATGTTTTCAGGTACATAAAATAAAACAGGTAAGGTTACAAAGGGAAAAAAAGAATTATAAGATATTTTAAAAATGTATGCAGGCCCTAGGTTAAGAATCCCTGAATTATGCCATGCTGCTTTTGTATTCTTTCTCTGTCATATACATATGTAAATATACACACAAGTATATATTCACTCCATAAATATAGGTTTCTTTTCATGTATTTATTCATCTCTCTCTCTCTCTCTCTCTATATATATATATATAAATATATATTTTCATACTTGAGGTCATATTTCCTGATAGGTTTATCTAACTCCACATAAAATCTACAACTGCAGATAAAGACAACCATCTGTCAGTGTCATTGCTGTCCTTTTAAATTAAGGGGCTTCCCTTGGAAATAAATACAGCAGAACATTTCTCTTAGTGAAAACATCATGACAGACTGACAAATAGCATATAGTACTTCTAATTCAGGTGCTTTATGACAGTCTTACCTTTATACCTGGAAATCCTTCTAGTCCTGGGAGCCCCATGGGTCCAGGTTCTCCCTAGGAAAAAAAACCAGAAGTAGAAAACAAAGAGTAACTGGGGTCAAAGTGTTTTAAAATATTTCATTCAACAGCATCTTGACTAAAATCCAACTTTAACACATCATCGTGATATGGATGTGACCCTGAGATCTTGAAGGGTAGAGCAGTTCTGATGGATTTGATTAAGATAGAAAGCCTGAGCTTTGAGTAGAGGTCTGGGAATTGAATACATGTCTGAAGGGTATTCTAGTTAAGTCTGGAGAGACTCATCACCATGTGTTGTTTTGGTCAGATCAACTCTTAAAGACCATTTACTCAATTAAAGAGGGATAGTGAGCTATGTTGATGGAGGAAGTACCCAGCCCTTGAAGTATTGAAACAACATTAACAGGGTTCATCTTTGCAAAGAAAACCCAAGTGCTGATGAGAGATATAGCCAACAAAGGTGTTACCAATGATGGAGGAAAGTAGCATGACATAATAAAAAGAGCACTTCAAGTTAGGAGGTCTGGGTTCTAATCCTAAATCCTACAATTATTTGCTGTGTGACCATGAGCAAATCATTTCATCTCTCTAAGTCTCATTTTTTTTTGTTTGTAAAACAGTAACAATACTTACACTTATCTAACATACAGGGTTACTTTGTAAAGCTTAAATTAATATAGAAATAGAATATTTTCTCACCTTTTATTTGCCTATGCGTTATTGCTGTTTGTTTTTCTAAAAATTGCTGAAGAAAAAGTCGTTCCCAAGAATGGTGTGTGTTTATTTCCTGGTTGTTTCAATTCTGATTAAGAACTTAATCAGAATGAACTCCTCTAGCGGTCAAGGTCAACTCCAGACCAATTTCAAGCAGAATTAGAATGAATGGACAGGTCCTAACAAAGTCTGCCAATTATAGAAGCACCTGGGGCTGTTTAATTACTAGAAAATTTGTCCACACATTTCAAGAGTAGATGAAGACAGAATTCACCCAATGAAGTTTATAGTCCTTATTTATTTTGTGAAGGGGCCTGGGTATTGTGGATGTTTTATTTAAGAGGAACGCCTGAAAATGGACATTTCTGGTACTTTAAGAAGGGAATTTTTCACACTGTTGGTCATTAAGACACAGGAAAGACATAACAACTTTTCATTTTACTTGATTGTTTTACATGTTCTAGTCTGTGGTCTACTTCACAAGTAGGAAGAGATGAATATTAGTTTGTTTTTCTAAAAGTAATCCAGTTAATGATTGTCATATTAAACTCCCCTTTTAGGACACTGGGGCATTTAAATACAATTACACAGGAAAGAGTATCCATAGTGGCATATAAATCAAATATATTTATGCACACACATGGCAGACATAACACCAATTTACTTTTAAAACATTGCCATGTCTCAAATTTCTGTTATTATTTCTTATCCTATTGTCATTAATGAGCATTTAATAAATAAGCTGATAGCCTTTCATGCACTGGGGGTTAAGAAATTTTTAAATGTCCATTAATAGGCAAGTAGTCAACAAAACAAGAATAATACCTATAGTCAGGACATAGGAGACAGAAGTCTCCAAGTGGGATGCACTCTCATAATTTCTAACCTATAAGGTCAGAAAATATTACCTCTGAAAATAAAACAAATAAGAATCAAATGGATGATATGAAGGAGTTGCTTAAATATTCTATTTGGAAAGATGGCTTGTGAATATAATGCTGATGATACTAGCACATTGAGATGATACTTTAGGATCAGACATACCTGGAAGGGAACTTAGAAGTCAAATAGTCCAACTTCCTAATTTTATAGATGAGGAAAATGAGGCCCCAAGAGATTGTGATTTATCCAGAGTTTTCTGATTTCAAACCCAGCATTCTTACCACTATATCACACTACCCCTCATCTTTTGTGGGTATCATCAAAAATGTTCAATCTTTGAGTCCAGGGACTATTTCATTTTTGACTTTGTATCCTCAGAATATAGCTCAGTGCATGGCACCAAGTAGTTGATTAATAAATGCTTGTTTAATACATGAATGAATCACTTTAGAGTAGACATGGGGGACCCTCAGTGTCACCTTCTCAGACAAGAACCTAATTAGTTTTAATTGGGGTGAATTCTCTTCAGTAGTCTTGATTTCCATGGTTCTTTCCCACCACCCTCACAAAGACTATTAGGGATCTACCCAAGGGTTTCATGGATTTCCAAGCCATACAAGAGTAGGACTCAATCCCTTTGTACCAATCTGGAGTGAGATGATGCAGAAGAAGACACAAACTCCAACTCTAGGCCAGCTGAGAGGAATCCAGATACTGAAGATGGGGAATTCCATGCAGTCACATACAAAGTCCACTAATGTCAAACTGCACAAAGATTTTGATCTGACTGCCTTCCTCCACCTTGCCAATATACATCATTGTCATATCTACAATGCCTCCGTTAATTGTCCTGTTATGTCATTTTATCCTTCTCCCTCTGGAGAGAGGGTATAAAGGAGATGTATTCTGTCCATATTTCTGAAAGAGTGGAAACTCCTTGATAGAGGCTCCACCAAATCTATTTGTGTCTATGGGTAATAAGAAGTATCCACAAAACTGTATTTAGTTAGTCCAATTTTTAGGAATGTTTTTGATCCAACTTTTGATAAAAATTGGACCCAGACTAAGCTAGTAAGACCTTCATTTTAGAGCAGGGGCTATTAACTTTTTTGTTTTCATGGAACCCTTTGGCAGTGTGGTAAGGCCTATAAACTCCTTCTCAGGAGGTTTTTTAAAAAACTGAAGTTAATACTAAATTTCAGGTTGAGGTTAGTGGAAATAAAAATGTTAAATTTTTCCCATCGAAGATCAGCAATCCCCTGAAATCTTTTCACAGCAAAGGTTGGGGGGCGAGAGAAGATGTGTAGCCCCAGGCTAAGAACTTCTATTTTCAAAGGTGCCTCTGAAATTTCCCCTGTCTTTACTCTCAATGGATAACATCTAGGAAAGAAGACAGTGCCTTCTCAATTTCACTAGGGTCACCAGCTTCCTTGAATGGTTCATAGGCTCAAGCTAAATGCCTACAATGGAGGAGGTAACCAATAAAAAACATGCTTCATCTATGTTAATTGCAAGGCCTTTCTTCCCTATCTTCCTAGTCTCTTGACAAATGATTCTGGGGATATGAATACATGGCAAGTGTTGCTTTCACTGTGTGCACATGGATTTGTTTGCTTCTTTTTTGGCAGTTACATCTGGAAGCCTCAAAGCATTTTAGATATCATAGTTTATTGATGCTGAATGTCTCCCAAAATCTCACCATGAAGAGAACAATCTAAATGTAACTAATATGAGATAAATCATCTTGAAAAGAATAATATGTGATTGGCAAAGGAAAACAGGGCATTAGACTTTATAGTGCCTAAAAGGAGAATCAAAGAGTATGAGGTTGTTAGTGTTTCTCCAACTCTGTCCACTTGATCTGATGCTAATAAGCAACACCAGTTTATAGGTAGAGTGAAGAAGGACATTTCACTGTTCTACCATGTTTCAGGAACATTAAAATAACCTTGCTTTCATTCTCTGCTCACCAAGCAACCTTGTCACCTATAATCTGGTTTTTCTGAGTTGACCTACCCTTTCTTGAGAGAATGAGTGAACAAACTGTTACAGAGAAAGAAAAATAGTCCAAAGTGACATTTTATGGGAACTGAGTTTATCTTTTATTCTGTAGAGAAGACATCCTGGGAAAAGACTTTAATTGCCATCCTGGGGGAATTGAATTGTAAGTCTATGGTCTGGATGAGTCAACAGTTGCAGCCGATGGTTAGAAGTGACATTGGCTATGACTTTTCTCACAGGTAATTGCTGAAATGTGGGGTTTGAGGGAAAAGTGAGAGGGGGCAAGAGATAGAGGAGAGGGAGGGAGAGAGAGAGAAGTGGGACACAAAAGTTTATGGGAAAAGAGGTTTCTCTTGTTTCTGGCTTGGGGCTCAGAGTTATTTAGTTAATACGAAGACCATACATTCCTATTAATTTTTGAAAAAAATATCAGTGCATGTACCTTGATTTCCTTATAAACCCAGGATGAGAATTAATAAGGATGTGGGCAAGTAGCAGTTAGAGATTGCTGAGGGTTTGTGTGATTGCCAGCTTGTGCTTGCCAGCTCGGTTATTCTCCACATAGGCTACAAATTACATAGATAAAATTAAAGTGAAGGAGGACATTTCACTGGCCAGTTATACTTTAGGAACATCAAAATCCTTTTGTTTTTATGCTATGGTCACTAAGCAAACTCAGGGTCTCCACCAGGAAGGCATATTGTGTGGAAATAACTAGTCCTCTTGATCTTGATCCTAATATCAAGGTCCTCAAACAGTGGAGAGGATGATTAGACACAGGAACCATGGACCCCACTGAGATATTTGCTACTTCTGTGGCCCAAGTTGAACAGTCTACTTGACTTTTTACCATCTCATTCACTAAGACAGTATGAACACTTATTAATTACCTACTATATACAGGACACTACATTGGCAAAATAATCCTTGCTCTCTATCAGCTTACATTCCACTGTGGCAGGGTTGGGGTAGGGTGGGAAGAAAAAAAAAACATGTAAACAGTAAGTATATATGTGATCATTTTAGGAGGGAGAATCAGGGGAATCAGGTTAAGAAGAGGCATATGAGCAGGAATGCAAGGGATTCTAAGAGGCATAGGTAAAGGTAGAGAATATTCCAGGCATGAGAAGCAGGTATGGAGGTAACAGATGGAATGTTGCCACTGTTGAGTATTATTTGGATAATTACAAAGGAAGATAAGCACCTTGAGGATAGGGATTATATCTGGGCATGTAGTTGATTCTCAATAAATATTTATTGAATGAAGTTAAATTGAAAGTAGATAATGTGATCTTTTACCTCAAAGTGTTTATTATCTTTTATGGTGAGGAATAATATGTGATATCTGAGATCATAACATAATTGTTGGATATTCCTCTGACACAAAGATTCACAAGATTACTCTAACTGGAAATGGTAACATATAAATATCAAAAAAGAAAGGTGGGGCTTCACATGAAATCTAGAGAAAGGGGGAACCAAATACTATGTGGAGAAGGTACTGTGCCTTGAGAGTCATTCAAACAGAACTTCACCTCAAAACAGCTGTTATGCCTTCCTCCCACAGTGCCTAAAAGTCCACCAGCTGTAATTATTGCTTTTTGGATAAAGCATTGCCTTTCTACAACAAGCATCTGGGAATGGAGGAGGAGTGGGCAGGTGACAAAGCAACGCGAGGCAGAAGGATGCTAAAAACAAAATTTACCTACATTATATTTTCCCTAGCTCAGTCTGATCTCTCTCCCTCTCTCTTCCCTTCTTTCCACCCTGCCTTTACACACACACACACACACACACACACATTAAAAATATTAAGAACTCATATTTTTGTTGTATAAGTCCCTAAAAACAGAAGACTGCTTCCCAGATTAAATTTGGAGCTTGCACATTTATTTTTTCATTGTTGAGTAGCTTGACTGATCTACCAGGTTCAAATTTCATGCAAATCTATCCAACAGTCTACGTTAGTTGTCACTCACTTTCCCACCTAAATAAATTTGAAATTGTTTTTGTTTTCCTACAATGAATTTTCAGTTTCTCATATTAACAGCACTATTAGCATGAGGATAAATCTGAATCAATGGTGTAGCAAAAATTGCCAGCAGGGCAGCTAATTGTATTATATCTGGTACCCATTTACCATCTTGGAGTTATCTGGATGATTCAGAAAGATCATTTTGGTCATTTGGATTGAAAATGAAAGGCTGAATAAGCAAGGGCTTCCATGATAACATGAAAAAATGATTTAAATTAAGATGAGGAATTAAGTTATTGAAATAGAGAATAAAAAATATTACAGGTGAAGAACTGATAACTTTTGAGTAAGGAAACAAAGACAGCCACTAAGTTATATAGCTATCCAATTGAAAATATGGTAGTATGGTAGTACTGGCTAAAGAGGGGCTTAAAGGGAAAGATAATTGTTTCTGTCCTTAAAATTATGAATATATATTTCCAATTACCAAGAAGAAGAGAAAATGTTGGATTCATCAATCCTCTATTTAAAATTTAGTCAGAAGTGCAATGGTTGCCTTTTCTGGCTTGCTCTTTCACTGACTTAAAATCCATTAATTTAATCTCATCAGATAGAAGCAGAATGAAATAGCTGTTAAAATATTTCACGTGACAATGGGAAAGAAGCTGTTGGTTTTTGAATTTATACTTGAAGGTTAAAGGGACATTAAAGGGGATAACGCAGGCTAGAACATATGTTTGAAAAGCACAGAATAGAAAAAAAATGCCAAAGAATTAAGGACGTCTAATTAAATTTGGCAGATTTTTTAGAATCGAGCTCCATGGTTGAGAGGGATGTTGCATCCAATTATCATCTTCTTGGCTATTAGATAAGGTATTCTCATTACATGCTGAGAGTTAACCTCTTGATACATTACTTCTAATAAGTAGGTTTATGACAGCATACTAAATCTTCTCCTTTGGGATCAGTGCATAATGTTTATAAAGCAAACAAACAGCCTCTCTTTTTTTCTGGCACATGTATTAAAAAATTTCATCCCAAGAAGGGCATTCTACAGTAGAAACTTTGTTCAAAAATTCCCCTAGGAATTGTTATACCAATGGGCAAATCCACAGTCTGTTAAAATAATGAATCAGCAATAGGAAAAATCCCACCAGGAGAAAATGTTTTATTTATCAACAGGTCTATTTTGTGTGTTCTCTCCTGAGTTAACAGGATGGTTTCTGAAACAGGCTAAGGCTGAGAGATGAGTCCCAGTGACAGTAACAATATCAGGTGTCAGGAAGGGAAGATTGAAGGATCTTTCAAAAAATAAGCATATTGCCTTTCTTATGTTTGCCACAATCTAATTCTTTTCAAATGGCAACTGATGGATATTTAGAAAGATAGACTCACTTCACTGTATTCCCCAATCTCAATTTAGAAAGAATTGCTATTTTTCACAAGGAGTAAAAAGCAAAAGAATACATACCATTGCACCAGGATCTCCTTTTGGACCCTACAGGGAAAGCATTGAAATATATATTTAAGTGATTAGCAAAAATAGAGAGAACCATAGCACCCACTCTCAGTTTGCATTGGCTCATCTTCTGGTGAATTTACTATATTAATTATAATTATTCATAATAATACATCTATTTATATGTTAAATATAATATGATAATTTATAATATAGTAATTATATTAATGACTAAAATATCATGCAAACTCTGTATGTGCCAAGAGGAACTCTTTCACCTTAAAAATCAATACCTGAAGAGTATCTAGCCAAAAATAGGGTTGTCTGGTGGGGTAAGTGTTTGGAGCAATATCCCAGGCTCTACTGATTACTATCTGTGTCACCATGGACAAGTTGCAACCATTCTGGGTTTCTGTCTTCTCATCTTTAAAATAAGGTAATTGGGTTTGATGACCTGTGATGTCCCTTCTAACTCTTAATCTATGATCTCATGTTTTTAGTTTCAGAGAGTATGACAGACAAAATTCCAATTATTTGTTTTTAATGCAGAGAAACTTTTAGCAACCACAACCCAAGGCTTTTAATTATTTCCCTTGTGCTATGAAAATTTTCTCTTCCACTCAATGTGAAGGCTGTCACTGACTTTGAGAATCTTTTCATGATCACTGTTTGGCTAATGTGAGCTTACTTAAAAGAAATAAGTACTCACTGAAGGACCAGGGGGCCCAGGATAAGTAGCAACACTTCCACCTCCCTAAATTGATAAAGGAAAAAAATGACAATTAATACTTATATAACACTGGAAAATAATTTTAAGTGATTAAAAAAGTAACTACCTGGAGTTTATATAAACTGCTCATTCCATTCCCTTCACTGAGTGGCATACTCTGAAAGATGAGAAAAGAAATCATTCAACTTATGCAGTAATTATCATTTCCATCCCTTCATGTTGATGATTTATACTGGATTTTAGAAATATATGCTGCTAACTCCAAGAATGGGAAAACACTAAAATAGGAAGATAAGTTAATTCTATAGATGATAGAATTTATAGTGACAAAAATTCAGCTTCTGTTTTTATCTTCCCTAGGGGCAAAAAACAGAAGCAAAAACCCCTGTAAAAGAAAAAGGTAAAAAGCATTTGAGTCACACCTGGAGCATAAAAGCACTTTTAGGGTAGATCGAAACAAATGCTAAAGCCTAGCAGATGAGAAACTTATGGATACAAAGGAAAATAGTACCTATTCATTAAAATTCAGTTGTTGAATTACCAGTTTATATTGTTTATAGCCTGCTGACTTCTGTAGCATATATCACAGGCTAACATACAAGAGAACTAATAAAAATGGAAATGTGAGAAAATCTGGTTATTGAAAAGTAGTTTTTCCCACAGTTTCTTCATAAGACACAGATGATTAAGGAGTAGATGCTGTTATGTCACAGTGCGAATTTATCTATAAAAATGCATCCCTAGGAAAAATGGGGAATGACTCTGTAGGCACAAAGTTTACATGTAACTTGTAAAGTCCAAAATCAATAAACACTTAAAAACAAAATTCTAGAATCTTTAAGACAGGAAATTTTCATTCAGGGAAACCCCAACCTTTTCCTGTTGTTGTTCAGTTGTTTCAGTTGTGTGTCTGACTCGTCATGACCCTGTTTGGGGTTTTTCTTGGCAAAGATACTGGAGTGGTTTGCCATTTTCTTCTCCAGCTCATTTTACAGATGAGGAAACTGAGGCAAATAAAGTTAAGTGACTTGCCCAGGTTCACACAGCTCTGAGGTTTCTCAGAGCCCATTATAAATAAAAATAATAGCTATCCTGGGAATCTGAGGATATTCATAGTTTTAGTTTGGCTCTTCTGCTAACTACTTGGGTGACTTTGGGTAAGGCTTTTCAATCCCTCAGGGTCTTAGTTTCTGTTGCTACACAATGAAGAAGTTAGAGGAGATGATCTTCTCTAACTAAAATGTTGGCCATGCCATAGTAAATGTCACCTAGGCCAAATTCTTCCTCTTTGTGTGGACAAATATTCCTAGGTGTGCCTTATCTTTTATGATTGCATATTCCATTTGGAAATAAAAACGTAGAAGCAATAGACACTAGATCACCATTTCGGGATTCTGATGTCAGCCAGACTTCATAGCAAACCAGTGCAAGTAATCAACACCTTCAATTTTTTATGTCTCAGAAATATGGCATTCTGAACTTCACCAGAAAGCCTGAAGATATGAAAAGAGACTCAGATGCTAAGAAAATACCCTGGATTTATCTCATCATTGCAACTCTTCCTTTTCCTTACAACTCCAAATCCTGTTCTTTATCTTCAACTCAACCCTCCATCTTTTCAACATTAAATTCTTTCCCAGGCTATCACCCCTGTACTTGCTACGTTCTATTCTCTTCCCAATATTGACTCCTTGAGGAACCATCTCAGTGCTACATTGTTCTCTTCTCTCTCGAATCCCTTGCCTCCTTATCCTATTCAAGATCTTACCCTGTCAAGTTTCAGTCTTGGATTACTCCCACCACCCACTGCCTTAATTCCAAGTCATGTGCTTCATATCTAGAGCTAGAGAAGAAAGAGCTAAATCATAAGCTAGAGAAAATCACAAAATCATGCTGATTGGGGCTACTACAAATTTATGTTACATAATCACCACTGGGCCCTCACTGCTGCAAGGTAATCTTTTTATTCCTCCCTAATTGGTTCACTATCCCACTTGGCACAACGGCTTTTTCCAAACTTTTTCAACCCTTCTCAAACTTCTCATGGTTCCCAATCAGCTTACTTTCTCAGCTGAGAATTTTCCTTCATTTTTCACTGAAAAAACATTAAGCCTCTTTGCTCAGAGCTGCATCTTCTCCCTCCTCCTCATCTCACACCACATCACTCAGATATTATCTCTTCTACTTCTACTTCACTACTATCTCTTCATTCACTCTGGAATCATGTAATGAGGTTGTCCTTATCCTTGCCAAAGCAAGTCCCTCCACATGAAGTGAACCCATTCCATCCTAACTTCTCTGGCAGATTGCTCCCTCTATCATCTCCACTCTTTTACTAATATATCTCTGTCTACTGGCTGCTTTCCTACTGCCCATGTACCCCTCATCCTCAAAAAACCCTCACTTGATACATCAATTCCCACTATTATCTTTACATCTCTTTCCATTTGTCAGTCAGTCAATAAGCATTATTAAGTGCCTACTGTGTTCCAGGAGCTGTGCTAAGTACTGGGGATACAAAGAAAGGCAAAAAATAATACTTGCTTTTGAAGAACTCACAATCTGATGGGGAGACAAGAAGGAAACAAACATGTAGAAACAAGCTATAAACAGGATAAACCTTAAAAATTACTTTGGGAAGGCACTAGAATTATGAGAAATTGGAAAAGGTTTTCTATAGAAGGTGGTATTTCATCTGGGACTTGAAGGAAGCCAAGTCAGCCAGGAGTAGGAGTTGAGGAGAGAGAACATTCTAGGCATGAGAGACAGGCAAGAAAACACCCAGATCCAAGAGACAGTGTCCTGTTTATGGAATAGCAAGAAGGTCAGTTTCACTGGATTGAAGAGTACATGTGAGGATGTAAGGTGTAAGAAAACTGGAAAGATAGGAGGGCTAGGTTATGAAGGACTTTGAACACAAACAGAGGATTTTATATTTGATTTTGGAGATGACAGGGAGCCATTGGAATTTATTGAGCATAGAAGTTATATGGTTGGATTGGCACTTTATCACTTTGGTGGCTAGAGGATTGACTGGAGTGGAGAGAGAGTTGTGACAGTTAGGCCCAGTAGTAGGCTACTGCAGTAGACCAGGTGTGAGGGGGTAAGTACCTGCACCAGGATGGTAGCCATATCAGAGAAGACAAGGGAATGTATTTAAGAGATGAAAAGGTAAAACCTATAGTTCTTTGCAACAGTCTGGATATGGGATGGTGATAGATAGTAAGGAGTCAAAGATGAACCTGGGGCTTAGGCGGATGGTGGAGCCCTTGAAAGTGATAGGGAAGTTTGGAGGGGTTTAGGGGGAAAGAAAATGAATTCAGTTTTGGACATGATGTATTTAAGATGCCCACTGGACATACAGTTCAAGATGACTGAAAGACAATCGGAGATGTGATACTGGAAATAAGCAGAGAGGTAAGGGATAGATAAGCAAATTTGAAAATCATTGGCATAAAGAATAATAGAATAATTGAATCTATAAGACCTGATGAGATCACCAAGCAAAGTAGTATAGAGAGAGGATAGAAGAGAGTACAGGATGGAGTACTATGGGACCTACAGTTAGTGAGGATGACCTGCATGAGTATCCAGCAAAGGAGACAGTCATATAGGTAGGAGGAGAAGGGAGGGAATGGTGTCCTGAAACCTAGAGAGAAGAGAGTACCAAAGAGAAGAGGGTGGTTGACATTGCCAAAGACTGTAGAGAGGTCAAGAGGAAAGAGGATTGAGAAAAAAAATTGAATTTGGAAACCGGAAGATTATTGGTGAATTTACAGTAAACAGTAACAGTGGAATGATGAGACCAGAAGCTGGATTGTAGAGAGTTAAAAGAGAGTGAGAAGAGATGAAGTGGAGTAGACAGCCTTCTCAAGGAGTTTAGCCACAAAAGTCATAAGACATTTAGGATGATAGTGGGGATGGAAGGACTGAGTAATGATTTTTTTAAGGATGGGAGAGACACAGGCATATTTGTAGGCATTAGGGAAGCAGCCAGTAGAAAGGAAAAAATTGAAGTAAGAGATTAGGGATGACAGAGGGGGCAATCTGTTAGAGGCAGGATGGAATGGAATTGCTTCTTTAGGTAGAATGATTTGCCTTGGAAATGAATAAAGCTATGCGTTTGTGTGAGATAGGAGTGAAGTTGGAGATAATGGCAGAAGACATTTGAATGGTATAAAATGAGGAGAGGAGAAGGGGGAGTTCATGGTGAATGGTCTCAATTATTTTCTGTAAAATGTGAGGCAAGATTCTTATCTGAGAGCATGGAGGGATAGGGAGCCCCGTAATGCTTGAGGAGGGATAAAAAGGCTTTGAAGAGCCATTGTGGAGAGTGGGATAGTGAAGCAATAAGGTAGATATAGTAGGATTGCCTAGCATCACTGAGGTCCTAGTTGAGGTCACATAACATAAATCTGTAGTGCACTCAGTCAGAAAGGTTGTGGATTTTCTCCACTGTTACTCAGGAGTACATGTGTAGGAGTGAAAACAACAGATATTGTATGATCCAAGGAGTGATCCAAGGCTGAGGGTTGGCAGGAAAAAATAGCAATATGATAAGGAGGCCAGGGACTCAGAAGAAGAGGACAGTGTAGAATTCAACTAGTTCACTAAAGGGTCAATATGGGAGAAAGGGTGGATAGTGCACAGATGGTAGGCTGGGAAAGAAGTCAGGGTTCAAAGGATTGGAGGTCATGGTGTGGACAAAGAGAAAGCTTTGGTATGGGACAGCAGAGGGAAAACTGTAGAGTCAATAGATTGTGATCAGATAAGGGAATTTCAGAATTTCTGGACATATATATGGTATATTTGTGGGGTGCCTGGAAGTGGCAATAAGCAACAAGGAACATTCCAATTCCCCTGATTCAACCAGTGAGCTATGAGGAATAAGTGAAAGTTCAGCCAGTGTTGGAAAGGATGGCCAAGGGAGGCTTGTATCATCAGTGGTGAGGATGGAAGAAATGAGACAGGAAAAGATTTAAAATAAAGGCCAGTTTGTTAATTATGGAATAGGCATTACAGAGGGCATAGTGGAAGGGATGGGCAATGTTTGGTTGGAGTAGGAGGATTGAGGGTGATGGAAATTAGAAATCAGGAGGGGAAGGTATAGCTTTTGACATTGCCAATCACCTTCTTCTCCTTGATACTCTCTTTTCAATAGGTTTTGTGATGCTGCCTTTTCCTTGATCTCTTTTTACCTGGAATGATGACTTACAAGGGTTCATATTCTCTGGGATGCAGAGGGTAGATGTGAATGTGTTAATCATTAAGTGAAGGCACCTCTTCTCTTCCCAGAGGAGGCTGGAGTTCAGGGAGGAGAGAGGAGTCAGAGGAGATGGAAGGTGCGTAGACAAACAAAAAGGTCCCATTTATTCTCTCCTCTTTCCTCCAAAGGTTGGAGATCAGTCAGGCAATAGCACAGCAGGAGATAGAAGTCCCACTCTACTGCCTTTCCTCTTCTTCTTCCCTCAGGGAATATGGAAGGCACTCCATGCAAGGGAAGATGGAAATCAAGATCTTGCAGATGGAAGCTGGTCTCTAGCTCTGTGTGGCCTTCCCTCTTTCTTCAGGGGACACAGGTAGCAGGGGCTGGAAGGCACACTCAGATGGAAGATTGTGCTTTACCTCTCTTCTTCCCACTGGAGGCAACTCTGCAGTCTTGCTTCTGAACTCATCATTCAACAGATAACACTCTCTCCAAAGTTACCACTGATATCTTCATTGCTGAATCTGAAGACCTTTTCTCAATCCTCTTCTTTCTTGACCTCTCTGCAGCTTTTGACATTGCCAATCACCTTCTGCTTGATACTCTCTTTCCAATAGGTGTTGTGATGCTGCTTTTTCCTTGACCTCTTTCTACCTGTCTGACTGCTCCTTCTCACTCTCTTTTGCTGAATCTTCATCTGTGTCATGCCCCCTAACTCTAGGTATTCCCAGATGCTCCATCCTGGGCCTTCTTCACTTTCCCTTCTACATTATTTCACTTGGTGATCTCATCTGCTCACATGGATTTACCTGTTTTTATGCTATTGATTTTGAGATCCATTTATCCAGTCCTAACCTCCAATCTTGAATCTCCAAGTGCTTACCAGATATCTTGAATTGGACATTAGTTAATCTTAAAACATTTGAAGTCCCAAAACTGAACTCATTTACTTTTCTTCCAAACCCTTCCCTCTCCTGAACTTTCCTATTGCTGTCTCTGGCACCATCATCCTTCCAGTTGCCAAGGCTCTTAACCTAGGTTTCATACTCAATTTCTCACTCTCCATATCAAATCACTTGCCATGTTCTGTCCATTTTACCTTATAACATCTCTCTTACATATCCTTTCTCTTCTCTGACACTGTGACCACCCTGGTGCAGGCCCTCATCTCCTCATACCTGGACTATTGCAATAGCCTACTGGTTGGTTGGCCAGGAAGTCTCCCTTCACTCCAGTCCATCCTCCACTCAGATGCCAAATTGATCTTCCTAAACCACAGTTCTGACATGTCATCCCTTCATAACCTGCCCTCTTCCTTCTTTTCCAGCCTTCTTACACCTTACTCCTTTCCATATGTTATGTGATCAATGACACTGGCCTCCTTTTTATTCCTTGCACAAGATACTTACATCTCTTGACTCTCACAATTTCATTGGCTGTCCCTCATGCCTGGAATTCTTTCCCCCCTTATCTCTACCTCCTGGCTTCTCTGACTTTCTTCAAATCTCAGCTAAAATTCTACCTTCTTCAAGAAGTCTTTCCCAATATGCTTTAATCCCTCTGTGATTATCTTTAATTTATCCTGTGTATATCTTGTTTGTACATAGCTTGCCTGTTGTCTCCCCCATTAGACTTTGAGAGCTCCTTTGAGAGGAACCTTTTAAAAGAAATCTTTATTTATATCGCCAGTGCTTAGCACAGTGTCTAACATATAGCAGGTGCTTAATAAATACTTGCTGATGACTTATAATGCCAACCTCAGGAATATCTTCTGGATGCTCTGATCAAAACCCTGAGGATACTGTTTCCCATTTGAACTAAACACTCCTATTCTAATCTCCAGGATTGTATGACTTTTTTTTCATCCTAAGAAACATCGAGCAGCTTTTGCACAAAAATGCAGCCGTAACACCTAGACTACCCTTTTCTACCCTTTACTGTTCCTCTTAGCCTCATTTGACCCCTCTACTTGTATGAGATATGATTCAAGTGCTTACCTAGAAAATGCTAGTTTTAATCAGTGTTCTCTCTCCTAGCTTTTTAAATTATGGGCTCTTAGTGATATGAAAGGGAGGTTGATAATAAAATTAATAAGTGTTGGCTGTTTCCAGGAGAAAGGATTTCTCAGGCTTGTACTCGTAGAATATTTCTGATGATAACTATTTTCCCGATCTCTTGTGGTCCAACTTCTAGGGACTTCCTGCAATATAATTTGGATCTCAAATATTTCCTGTTCCAATGATTTGCTTTTTGTCAAGAATAAACTTCAAAAAAATTGGGGGAAATGGCCTGAGATAAAAATAGAACATTTAAATAATATGCTGCTTAAATATCTTATCTTTCTTAAGATTCAACATTCACTTTTCCCACTTATTAGGGAACAAGAGCTCTTGTAATTCTTAAAGCCAGAACCAGTATGGGCAAAGCAGTATTTTGTTTCAGGGTGCTAAAATGGATGAAAATTCCTCATCATGAGGAATTCTACCAAAGGCAATCACCATCCTAATGACAATTAGTCTAACTATTCCTTCTTTCCAGCCAAGGTTCTTACAGTTCAATTCTTGCTTCATCCCAACCCCTGCAAAAGCAACGGTTAAGTTCTTTCTCATCTACATTTGGATAGTTCTCTATGTAGCTGCCCTTCCCTCAACTGCTTTTGTCTTAGGTGAAAAGGCTCTTTACTTATGACTCTGGGAGGAGGGATGAATCTGTAACCCCTGTATGACTACAGAACTCTGATATCATTTGAACATGGCTTCAGATGAGGAAAGAATTCAATGCATAGGTCTCAAGAGCTAGAATGGACCTTAGAGATGATTTAGGTATATCTAATCATTTTGATTTATATTGATTGAAGAGAATACATAAAATAATTCCTCCATATATGGAAAGTCATATGTCTTTCATTATCATCAAGATCATAAAAATTATTATCAAATTTATTACACAAGGAGAATTTCATGTACTATGCATCTTATCCCCAAATTCCTTGAGGGCAGGGACCATAGTTTACCTAAACTCTATATCTTGACATTGCCTGGCATAATACTCTAACTGTTATAGTTACTTAGTAAATGCTTGTTGATTTGATTCTAATATGTTGACTATCCTTGACCCCTAGGAGCTGAGACTTGAAGAAAGTATTTTGGTGTGTGCAGGCAAGTATGGGAAATGAACAGTCACATAATTATACTGATGCGGAATGAGCAATAAAATATTTATAAAGGGCAAAGTTAAATATATTTTGCATGTAGAACACATAGGAGAGAGTCAAGTCTCTCCAAGGTTAAATGGGTACATGGTTTATTTATTCATGATATATATTATATATATATGTGTATATATATGTAGATACATATTTATGTAATTATATATGATAATTTGTGTTAGCTTTGTGTTATATCTAAACATAGATTAGGTAATAAGTTATCATTGTTAAAAATGTGAATTTCAAAGTTTTCAACCATGAAAAAAAATTTACAGGAGGTCCAGGTGGTCCGGGTTTTCCAGGTGATCCTTCATTGCCCTGAAAAATAAGAATTATATATATCACAGTTGGAAAATATTTGGTTTAGCTACTGTTTTCTGTATGTCACCTAATGTCTATTGTGTCTTGTGTACCTAACCTATTCCACTGATCCACCACCCTATTTCTTGGCCAGTACCAAGTAGTTTTGATGATTGTTACTTTATAATACAATTACAAATCTGGTACAGCTAGGCCAGTGTGGCACAGTAGATAGAGAGCTAGCTCCCGAGTTAGGAAGACCTGGGTTCAAATTTTGTCTCTGATACATACTGGGTGTGTGACTCTGAGCAAATCACTTAACTCTCAGAGAACCAGGCAACCCTCTAAGACTATAGGTTGCAGAGCAGGCACTGATTGGGTTGTTAGAGAGAATTTCTTCACTAGGAGTTTCTCTAAATGAAATCATGGGCACAATCTAAAAAAAAAATTAGGTGTGTCCTACTGAATATAAGTAATAATTATAGAATACTACTTTGGGGAGATTTCCTTTACAGTAAAAATTGTCTGGGACAGATTATTCTTTTCTAAAGAATCAGGATGAAAAATTTATGAGAGAAGAAATTCAGGATTTAACTTGAGAAAATATATTTCATAGTATTTTCTAACATAATTCAAAAGTTTCCTTTTCTCCATGGTAGAGTGATTTTAGAAACTTTAATGTCAAGGTATTCTAGTATTCCTAAATTTTCTCAGAACAGTAATTTTGTATCTAAAGCAAACAACAGCAGAGTCTGTGCATAGGTTTGCATGTAATGCTACATTCAGGCCAACTATTTTTAACCCTTTTATTTTACATGTGAGGAAACTGAGGCCCAGGGAGGGTAAGAGAATATAAATTTCCCAAGACTAAGGGATGTTCATTTGCTGTATTTCAATTTCTAGCATCTAGCATGGTGCCTGATGTATAGTGAACACTTAATAAATGTTTGTTGATTAATTTTCCAAAGTAACAATGGTAGTATTAGAGGCAGAATCTGAAGTTACCTTCTCTGATTCAAGAGCCAATGTCCTTTACACTGCCCCAACAAATAAGAAGGGAAAGTTACACACTTCCTATTCATGTGGCTGAAGTATCTTGATGGCCCATAGATGTTAGTTCGTTTCTTGAGTTTGGGTCAAATATGTGTGGTAACCAGGTTTTCCCGTAAAAAATCATCATGCTATCTTTTATATTCACATAAAGCATACTACTGAGTCTTTCAAAACTTCTCATTCAGACTATCAAGTTTTAGGCATTTGCCTAAACACCTTATATCCAGGCAGTCCATCCTTGTGGGCGTCTCTAAACCATATTAGATGTGAGTGACTGGTGGCAAAGTGTCCTTTAGGGAATTATGCCAAAGTGTCCATGAGTCAATTAACAAGGAAAAATATATGAACACTAAAAGACACTTTCTGGCACAATATCTACAATTAAAACTCATTTTTCATCTTATTTTGTGCCCCAAAGCTCATCTGAGTATGGAATTCCCATTAACTTCAAAGGCAATGGAATGTCTGAATGGATTCCATAGAGGATGGAAATGAATGAAAAAAGGGGGCCCTTGTGACATTACCAGAGCAAATCTTCTAAAACTCTATAGAATAAGCACATTGTTTCCTTTAAATTTATGTTAGCATTACTCTGTTACTACCATTATGCCTCATTTCTTTTCAGTGATACTATTTGGTAATTGAAAAAAAAAAGAATGAATTTTCCCTGGGACAGTATAATGTCATGCTACCCTCTTCCCCCACTCTCCTCCAATTCCCCTAGCATTAGTAGCTAGGCTTACTCAGCTTAGTCCAGGGGTGGGGAATCCAGGGTCATATGTGGCCCTTTAGATCCTCAAGTGCAGCCCTTTGACTAAATCCAAACTTCACAGAACAAATCCCCTTGATAAAAGGGGATTTGTTCTGTAAAACTTGGACTCAGTCAAAAGGCTGCACCCAAGGACCTAGAAGGCCACATGTGTTCTCAAGACCACAGGTCCCCACCCCTGGCTTAGCCTATAGGCTCTGCTCTGTCTTAGGTTGGCCTTAGGGAAACAGATATTAGGAGTTTTAGTTCTTTACTAGCTCAGGACTGAGCCAATCTTCCTTCCGGTCTTATTTTGACTTTGGGACCCCTTGTGATTTATCTTTGCCTAATACTTAGTTTTCCAGTAACTTGTTCTTGTTTTGTACTCTTCCTGTTGTTTAGTTGTTTTTCAGCTGTGTCTGATTCTTTGTTACCCTATTTGGGGTTTTCCTGGCAAAGATATTGGAGTAATTTACTGTTTCCTTCTCTAGCTTGTTGTACAGATGAAGAAACTGAGGCAACCAGGGCTAAGTGACTTGCCCAGGGTCACACAGCTAGTAAATGTTTGAGGCTGAATTTAAACTCAAGAAGATGAGTCTTCTTGACTCCAGGCCTGGCGCTTTATCCATTGTGCTATCACCTAGATACCCCTAGCTTATACCCTTGTTTCCCAGCAGCTAGGTTCCTGGCTCTATACCCTAGTCCCTCAATTTGTAGATTTCATGCCTAGTGCACTGCTCTCCTCAAGGATTGGATTTCCTTTCTTTGAACATAAGGGTTACTTCATTTGGGTCCCTTCTATCTGCTACCCTATGTCAACTACTTAGACCCCCTCTAATAAATGATCCTGTTTCTGTTTGATCAGACAGACCTCATGACTCTTGGATTCAGTTTGGACTTCTTGCTTAATGTGATTAGATCCTGCCTGTCCTCTTCCTTATGGATGGATTGCCTGTGTCTACACCATTCAGTAGGGGGTCCATCTTTGGGCTCCTATCCCTGTAGGCTTGCTTCTGTTCCCACGTTCAGATCCCCTCACATTCAACTTCACTCAGCCCTTTGGATCTCTCTTGAGATCCCACTTTGACCTCCTCTTATCTATCATGTCCTACCAGTATCTGAGTCTTGGTTATAACAATTTCATACACAGACACACAGATACACACACACACACACACACACATATACACTCACATATACACACACAGATCTATGTGTATGTATATGTGTGTATGTATATTTGGGGTATTTTTTAGGAAGGGTGGTTTACCTTTTCACCTTTTGCTCCAGGAGGACCAGGATGTCCAGTTCTTCCCAATGAGCCCTATAATACACCAGATTGGTTTATGAGGAAAACAATAAAATGACACCAAAGTTTGCCTGCTAAAACTTACCCATTTTGAAGGTCATTTGGTCATAATTAAATCAGTCCTAAAAGTTTACATTTCTTCTGGCCGATAGAACAACTGCATGCGACTGATAAGTCCTCAAATGGTAAAATTTGTATTTTGTGGCTGCTTTCTTCACCTTGGCCAACTACACGTGGTGACCTTAATTGGAACCTTTTGATACAGCTAAGAATTTAGACTTGCTGTTTAAATGGTAATTTACATAACATTACCCATTATGTCTTCCTAAATGGGCTATAATTTTTGAAAGCCATCAACTTTTTAAATACTTCCAGAAACTGGAGAATTAATGATTTCTGTATGGGGCTATGTGATCTGCATCATATCAACAGAAAATAAAAGCTAACTTTAGTCTTTTGGGGGAATATAAAAGCCACATTTCCCTTAATTCCTTTAGTAGCTTGTCCCTGTACTTTTAATGTTAAGACACAATTTTCAGTTAGGCTTATGGCTGTGTGAAGGCTGGGTCTATGATGACTGTGCGGAAAACATAAGTGACTTAGAAATGTCAGCTTGTAGCCAGTGTGAACAACCCTAAGAGCATCAGGGAACTCAGAAGCATTGTAAGTCCATGTTGCTTATAGTATATTCCTAATTAACTGCTCCCCCAATAACAAGAAACATTTATTTATCACTTTATGTATGAAGAACACTGTCCTAGGCAGTGGGACAAGCACAAAATTTAGATAAAATATCATCTCTCATTTTCTGGAGCCTACTGTTTAGTAGGTGGATAAGACACTTATAAAGACAGCCATAACACAATATTATAAGCTAAAAGAGTTACAAAACAATGTGAGATTTGACTGGAGAAAGTATTAACAAGCTATGAGATGCAACAGAGATATAGGAAAGCTTCATGAAGGAGGCAGCCTTTGAGTTGGACTTTAAAGTATGAGTATGAATTAAATGAGTATGAAGTAAAATATGAGTAAGAACTGAGCAGGTAAAAAGGGAGATATTCGAAGCATGTGGAAAAATAAGAGGTGGGAGAGTGCAGGGTGGTTGGAGAGCAAAGAAAAGTCTGGTTTGGCTGAAGCAAAGAGTGAATGCAGAGGAATAATATGATTTAAACCTGGAAAGGGGGAAAGGTAGTTTCAGATTCTATAGGGCCTTAAGTTCCTAAAGAATTTGAAGCTTATTTGACAGTCAGTAGGGATCCACTGAAGATTTTTGAGGTAAGGAGTGACATGACCACATCTATATACAAGAACAGTAATTCTCACAGAACTATTGGACTGTGCTCAGATCATATAGACCTAGAACAGAAGTTTGTAGGGTCTACTGAGATTATGCTGACGCAGAAAAAAACTTTCTCATTTAATGTTTTAAGAATAAAAAAGAAAAATTCTCTTTCCAGCTCACCTATTCCAATTACTAGTTTATCTTCAAAATGCAGTAACTTTGCTGTTGAGGAACAGGGATAATGCCTGGATTAAAGACTTTCTGTATTATGGGGAGAGAAAAGTGGTACCCATTGCTATGCATAGTGCATGAGGAACACTAAGTCACAGGACAAATGAAGCTATGGATTGTGGGAATTCAATTCAAGAAGCTTTTAAGAAACACCTATCTTGTGGTCAGCACCAAGTTAGGTAGTTTTTTTTTTAAAACGTATAAGATCAGTTGAGTCACTTTGCAGCAGTGACTGTTAAAGACTTTGTGAGGAGCTGAATGCTGAAAGCGAATGGGTAGAAATTGGTTAGCCAATCATTAATCTCTTACCCACTATTTGCCCAGGTACTGGGCACTGTTGGGGGGGGCACAAAAATGTGCAAAGTACAATCCCTGTTCCCAAAAGTGACATCTGGAGTTAAGACTAACTTACACTACAGAAGACTGTATACAATTGAGAGTTAAATTGGTAGCAGAGATTAAAAGTACAATGGTTCAGAGAAGATCAAATAATCAATGGGAAAGACTTTATGTACAACAAAAGACATGAGCTGAGCCTGGAAGGACAGGTGTCGGGAAAGGAAAAGATACTCCCAAGGCCACCTGCCTTTGAGGGCAGAGCAAGACTTCTGTGAGAGACAACTATACTCCCAGGTTGGCTGTTGGCTATTGAGGTCCTTCTGACTTAGCTTTTAAGAATCCTTTTACTGATTGGGACCAGAACAGTGCTCTGCACACATTAGATGCTTAATAAGAGCTTGTTGGACTGCTGAATTGAATATGTTGTTGAATTATGGACAAAATTCTTATTCTATGAAACTAATGGAGAGTCCCTAATGCTCAGAAAGATGGCAAATAATGCTGATTGAAAACTAGTATGGCGCTACTTCCTTCATAGCCCTATATACTGTAGGCACATCTATATGCATTAGGAAATAGCTTGTGAAACAAAACGTAGTAACATCAAACACTTACAGCAGGTCCAATAGGTCCTGGGGCTCCTGGAGTGCCTGGACTTCCTTGAAGACCCTGAAATGGACATAATTTTAACATAAAATAATTGTACATCTGCAAAAACACTCTACCCATTGTATCTGCCATAAAGGTCTTACTATCTATTGTAGTCAGGGAAAAATTATTCTAGATAGTCAAATCACAGAAATATGAAATCTTAGAATTTGAAGATGCCTCAGAGGTCATCTAGTGTAACCTATAAATCTCATCTGTTATGTAGAAGAAACAATGGATTTGGAATAAGAAGATCTGAGTTAAATTCCTCCACTGACACTTACCATCTGTGTGACTTTGTGTTCCAGTTTCCTCATCTGTTAAATGAAGTGGTTGGACTAGATACGGTCTAATGCTCCTTTGAGCTCTAAATCTATGCCCTATAAATGAAAAAACTTGGGTTTGAAGACTTCCAGTGATGAGAGGCTCACTACTTCATGAGGCTATTCCCTACTTCATTCTGTTTAACCAAAAACTGCCTTCCAATCATAGCTTACCCAATTTCAAAAAAATTAGTATGCATGCGAGGAAATATACCTAATACTAAAGTTATAGCCACCATAATCTGATTTTTTTTTGTTCATTCACAAAGCACTTTAGGATTTTTTAGGACCAGAGGGTCACAGAAACCCAGAATTCTTGATCTGAAATGGACCTTAAATATTACCTGTACTATTGGATTCAATTAGGGAATCCCCTCATCACCCCTCATTATGTGAATACATGGAATTGCTAGTTAAAAGTGTTTTCTGATTGGACAAATGTCTTATAAAATTGTTCCTTGTACTTTAGTTATGGTTCTGATCTTCAAATCTAATACAGGATTGTCAAATCATTGCCCGGAACAAAAGTTGTTTTTAATAATGTTATTAATCAGCTGGTAGTTTTTTTAAAGATGACAATTTTCTCATTAGAAACAGCTTTTCAACATTTAAAAAAAATTAGATTGGTCTACTAGTTTCTGTTTTTCATAAGAATTTCATCCTACAAGCAAATCTGAATTTGATTCATGGTCATAGATCTGGAGATGGAAAGGACTGAGAGGATCATTTGGTCCAGTTCCTTCATTTTACAGATGAGGAAACTGAGATGTAAAGTGACTTGACTAAGGTTACATAGGTTTGATGGCATTGCTTAAGAATTAATAACAAAATGTTTTTCTTTTAAATTTTTCTTGTAAGGCTTAAGATAATGGATAGTATCTTCCTTAGGGGCAGCTAGGTGGTGCATTGGATGGAATTCTGGGCCTGGAGTCAGGAAGACTCCTCTTCCTGAGTTTAAATTCACCCTTAGACACTTACTAGCTGTGTGGCCCTGGGCAAATTACTGAACCCTGTTTGCCTCAGTTTCCTCGTCTGTAAAAGGAGCTAGAGAAGGACATGGAAAACCATTCCAGTGTCTTTGCCAAGAAAACCTCACAAGGGGTAACTAAGAGTTGAACATGACTGAAAAATGGCAACAACATTCTTGTTTAACTTATCTGAAACTTATTTTCCTCAACTATAAAATGAGGGATAATAATATTTGTCTTAACTACTTCATATGGCTTTTGTAAAGTTTACATGAGCATGTATGTGAATATGTTTTGCTAATTGTCCAACAATATACAAAGACAAAAATAGATGAATACAATAACTAGAAATTCCTGTTTTAATTTTTTCTATTAATTGTTTCTCATAGCACATGACATTGTTGTAAAGGCACATAACCTCTCCAGGCCTCACTTCTACCATCTGTAAAATTAGAGGCTTAGACAAGATGATCTCTAAGGTTCTTCAAAACTTTAAATATTACTATATAATAATAATGAGGGAAGGAGTTAGAGGGGGAGGAAGAGGAAGTAGGGGGAGAGAGAGACAGAGAGAAAGAGAGAACAGAAACAGAGACACTGAGGGGAGGAAAGGAGAAAGAGAAACTGAGGCCTGGGTTAGGAAACTACAATAATTTATCCATTTTCACAGAGTTGTGTAGTTATAGGGACAATTCAAAGTCCAGCTGGTGCTTTTCCTTCTATTCAAGGTATCCCAAAAGTCTTAGTGCAGTTAAAAGCTTTAATAGCTTAAAACTACACTAGATCTTTTGTGACACCCTGTATATCCCACTGTGTAACAATGCATCTCACCTAACTAAAAACACTTTTTTTTGGCATCTTTTCAATCCGTTATCAATCTCCCTAATAATATAAAAGAAACATTTTCTTTTGGAAAGATGCTATTTATGGATTAGGCAACATGAATATCATAGAGGGCTCCTTTAAAAATCCTCATATTCCTACAAAGTTGTGTGTGTGTATTCTATTTCACACATAATTCTTTCTTGACCATTGTATCAGTCTAGAGCTGCTGAATGAGTCCTGAGATTTTCTAATTTATAAGCTTGGGGCTCATTAACCTTTGATGACCACATTAAACTTTAAAATAAACTGCAGGCCATAAATAAAAAAATACATTCTCAGCAGTCTTTCTCTGAATAAGCTGAAATGTTGTAGCATAGATAGAAATTACTGTGGATTCATAAAGGGCAATAAGATAATTTTAGGAGACAAGCTGGTCATTGAGGAAGACAAATACATCATAGGTAGTAGGGCACTCCATTTAGCACAGAGTACCAAGCATAAGTAGAAATTAAAATTTACTATATGTCCATCCAGGGATCATCAGAGCTAAGGCCCTTCATTGCTTGGATATTTTGAGCTCATAAGTCTTCCCTCAGTAATTGTCTAGTGAATATTTATTTCCCATTGTAATAATTCATGGCTGACAGTAGCTCCCCATATCTTAATTATCCATATTATCCTGAAAACATGCTTAGTAAGCCTTGAGCACCAAGTGAGAGTCCATTGTGTTGAGAGAGGTGTGTCTGCCCTCTACCAGCTTCTAACAAGTTGTTCCCTTGATATTTGCAATAAATTTTGTAGAAATGTAAATCATGAACATTGGACAAATGAAGTCACTTTGCCATAAGCAATGGATGTGTAACTTCTCTCTAAAAGTATCCTGTCAGAGGAAGGAGAGGCAATGAGGAATGAAAGACTTGAAAATATAAAAGTACTTTGCAACTGGTCAGAGATTTTTTCAGCTAGGACAAGAATGGTGTTCACATTAGATAAGTCTTTTAGTTGACTAATAGATTGGGGGGCGGCAGTTGAGAAGGATGTTTTGGCTTCCTGATTTCATTACTAGTGGGAGCTACCATTGGAAAAACTCCCTCACCAATACATATTAGCAACTTATATAAATATTTGCCTGGAGCAAGGCACAGAGAGGTTGTGTTTTGCTTCTCTATGTGTATGTGGCTAAGTATCTTGTAAATATCAGAGGTAGGGCTTGAACCCAGAGAATTCCTGTCTCAAAGGCAAGCTCTTAAACCATAGTGCCAGGTTGCTGCAATGATAGAGTGTATGGGCTATATTACTTTTCTAAAAAAAATCATTTTTAGAGATTACGATTTCTGCTCAAGGCTGAGAATAATCAGGGGAAAACTGAATTAATAGATTGGTTATTTGATTTATAATGTCCACATTTGGGAAGCTGGTAACTTGAAACCACTGGAATCCCTTAATTCATTAATAGCTTTGTGTAAAATCTTGTATGAGGGTTATATTGAGTCCTGTGTTATGGACTCCTTATGCAATATATTAGAACCAGTAGCTATTTCTAGTGGAGCAGCATGCAATAGCTTTTTCGTTCACAAAGAGAGCAAAGTACCCTACAGAATCAATAAAAATTAACTTTTAATGAATTTACCTTGAAGCCTCTTTAAAAAACCAAATTCCAATTATTTCCTGGCCTTTCTTATATTACCTTTTCAATTGTTTCTAAAATTTACCTCTTGAATCTAGGCAGTTAAAAGCTGTTAGGCCATTTAAAATCTGTTACTGTTATTGCACTTTGGTGCTGTCTTCTAGGAAATTTAAGAAAGCACAAACTTGTTTACTCTTGTTATTTTAGTGCTTTATTTATGGGTGAAAATAAAAATAAAAAATCCTTACCCTTGGAGGTGAATTTGGAAAAAAACATCCTTTCAAAATAGCATCAATACAAATGAAAAAACTAATGCATGATAATACCTAGTAATGTGAAGAAAGTATAGGCAACTATGGTGGCATAAATGATAGGTAGATTCACCTGTAAAAACCGATCTGTTTCATGGTATGCTGGCTTCCTACATTAGCATCAAGGTTAGCATATGCCAGATGGTTTACTTATTTTCATTAAGAAGTATTAGTTTCAAAACTGCCTAAATAAACAACAATTTATCATCCTAATGGTTTTTTTTCCAAGAATTAATGTGAATTATACAGGCACAGAATTGCATCCTGAGTACAACTGTGGCCCAGATCAGAAATTTTGAGACATTATCTCAAAAGTATATTTGACCTTCAGTTGGTCATTTTACTCAGTGATTCAATTTTCTTCATGTTTGAAATGGAAAGTAAACACCAACATTTTGTTATATGAAAAATCAGATAGTAAAAAAAAAGGTTTTGAAACTGACAAAAACATAAATAAATCTTTATCTTATTAATTCGTTAGCAGTTTAAACATGGCAAAACAACCTATTGGAGAGGAACTCCATATTTAGTAGTATCTTATATATTGCTAGTGTTTCATCAGTCATATGGGTTTATTAGGAATTATTAGGAATAATAGAAAAGCTAATTAAAATAAGAATCAATTTTACCTCATCACCCTTCTCACCAGGTAATCCAGAATATCCACGCTCACCTTTGCTTCCCTATGAAGACATCATATTTAACAATCACTCTACTGTTTTCCAGCAAACACTAGAAAAATGTGACTTTGAATGTGCTGACCAGACTTCAAAGAAGAGCCAGACATCATGCCAATGTAGCTGCTTTTCAAGTTACTATCCCCACCTATCAACCCATGTAGTTTCTACAACTCTTTACCTTTTTATCCTGAATTAAGGATTTGGGCCAGGGGAAGAGGAAAGGTTAAAAAAAAAAAAGATTCCCTTACCTTTGGTCCTTCTCTGCCAGGGATTCCTGGAGGGCCTCTTGGCCCCGTATCACCCTGAAGGCAATAGAAACAATATACACCAAAGGAACTGTCATATCTATACTCCACAAAAGGCACATATCCAGGATGCATTCATTCAACAATATTTATTATATGCCTACTATGTATAATTCAATTCAACAAATATTTGTTAATTGAATAATATTTACAATATAGTGTTTTAGGTGCGGGTGGATATCCAAAGATAAATAAGACGCAGGGTCTCCCTTCGGAAACTTACGGTCTAGTAAGATGAAATAGCACGGTATACAAATAAAAATAATACCAATTAGACTATGGTAAGGGCAGAAGAGGAAGAGAAAGTGCTTTGAGATCATTTCCATGCTTACCTTCCCTGCTACATAATAATTTCTTCCAGGTTCCCCAGCTCCTCTTTCCTCTCCTTTGGCAATTTTCAACCCCGGAATACTAGGATGACAGCTGCCGCAAACATTCTGTTAGGAATGGACAAAGGCCTAGTGACTTTAGTCATGCATAGTAAGCACATTTTGGTCAAATCCCTCAGAATCTGACTTCTATTTCAATTTAGAAATAGAGACTAAAGGTTGCTGCTGCCATAAACACTAGAATATATGAAAAAATAAAGCGTATGATGAAAGGTTTTCTTCTTTTAAAACTATTCAAAGTTATTTGGAAAAAAAAAAAGAATGTAGCTTGAAAATAAATTTGTTTTACCAGGGGAGAAATTCATTTGAGAAATAATTGCTAGTGTGACATTAGATTATTACATCAAATCCAAAAACTGATAAAAAAAAAGTTAAGGAAATTCCCTTTCTTTTGCTTTATTAATTCCTTTTCTAAGTAATTTGCTACCCACTTGTAGTTTCCACCTTTCTCCTTTTTGAAAATCAGTTTATTAGCATTTCAATTACTTTTAGATTTAGTTTAGTAGGACCTTATGTTTTAATGCTTGGACTCACAACTCAACATAAGATTTATCACATAGCTAACTCTCTTCATACCCTGATCCCTTCTTGGCTTTCCAGTCTTCTTATATTTTACTCACATGTACTCTATGATCCAACAACCTTGGCCTATTTTCTGTTCCTTACACACAACATTCCATTGCCCCATGGCTTTATACTGGCTTTAACCTTTGCCTGGATATACTCTACCTCCTCACTTCCATATACTGGAATCCCTGCTTTCCTTAAAGACTCAGTTCAAGTGCCACCTACTGAGGGAAGCCTTTTCTTGATGTCCCTAGATTGTAGTGCCTTCACTTTCATGGTTACTCTGTTTTTGATTTGTATATGCCTTGTATATGCCTATATATGTACACTATTAGAAGATGATTCCCTTCAGGGAAGGGACTATTTTACTTTTGTCTTTGCATCTCCTGCACTTAACACAATTTCTATGGCTTAGGTTTTTAATAAATGCCTACTGATATGTGTGTGTGTGTCTTTTTCTATCTCTCTCTCTTCTCTGTCTCTGACTCTCTCTGTGTTTCTGTCTCTGTCTTTCTTTGTCTTGCTTCCTTCATCCCCTTTTCCTTCCCTGCCCTCTCTGAAAAAAGAAACCACAACCCTGGGGGCTTTAGTTGACCATTAGCTTAATATGAATCAACAGTATGGCAGAGCTATTAGAAAACTCTCATGCAATAGAATGTATTAATGAGTATACATCAAAGGAGTCTATGTCTGCCCTATAAGAATAAGGCTAGTTAAGTTCAGAAAGGATGGGTTAAGATCTACACTGGTAAAGAGACTACCCACATGGATGACATCATAGCTCTTTGATTTAAGTGCATAGTGCATGCAATGCACTGTTCTGGGTGCTATATGAAATTCAAAGATGATTAAGTCATGGTCTCTGTTACTACAGAGTTCACAATTATTTCAGGATGATCTGAGAGTGGGGTAAGGGTATTTAAAATATGGAGATAGTATAAAGTCACAAATATGCAATGCTAGATAATAAATGGACAGTAAGTAAAATGAAGAATGGGGGCAGCTAAGGTGATACAGTGGATAGAGCACTGAGCTTGGAATCAGGAAGACTCACTTTCCTGAGTTCAAATCCAGCCTCAGATACTTACTAGCTGTGTTACCTGGGGCAAGTCACTTAACCCTGTTTGCCTCAGTTTCCTTATCTGGAAAAGGAAATGACAAACCACTCCAGTATCTTTGCCAAGAAAACCCCAAATGGGGTCATGAAGAGTCAGACACAAATGAGATGACTGAACAACAAAAAAATGGAGAACTTAAGAGAGGTACATATTCCTAGGTAACATACAGAATGAAAAAGTTCATTTCCAATCTGGGAAAATAAATACTCTTTAAATGTCATATAAAGAATTTTTTTTTAAGCAGAATTGGAATGTTTAGCCTAGGGAAAAGAAAACTTGGGGAAGGCGAATGATAGATGTTTTTAAGTATTTTCAGGGCTGTCCTAATGAAAAGGAAATTATTCTAGAGGGAAGGAGGGGTAAAAATTATAGGGAGGCAGATTTTAGTTTAATATAAGGAAGGATTTGCTAATAATCATACATGTTAAACAGTAGAACAGATTGTTTGTCAAAGAATAGGATTCCTAGTCATTCATAGTGTCCAAGCAGAGGCTAGGTGACAACATGTCAGGAACTTTATAGAGGAGATTGGAAGGGAGACTGTGTCACATGACTTTGAAGCAAATTCTGACTCTGAGATTCTATCCAAAAAGCTTTTTTTTCTCTTTATACCATCAACCCTTAATGCTCAGAAAAGATGTCATTTTAAACATATGATGTTCATATTATATCCAATTGCTATTCAATGTAACATGCTAGTGACTAGCACAGTGCCCTGTACATAGTAGGTGCTTAAGAATTCTTGTTCACTTGACAAACTACAGGTAAAGAGGAAGGATTTACTATTCAGTCCATTAGAATCCTTTAAAATAATAGAATGCAAAAGCTGCAAGGAACCTAAGAAGTCATCTAATCCCAAACTCTAAATTTACAAATGAGGAAACTATGGCCCAGAAAGATTGTGTCCTAGGTTGTACAGCTAATTAGTGCCAAAATCTATGTAAGAATTATGGTCTCTTTACTCCTAGGTTTGTTATCATTCTGTGCCATTCAAATTTTGCCTTCAGGTGCAGCTAGGTGGCGCAGTAGATAGAGCACCGGCCCTGAGGTCAGGAGGACCTGCGTTCAAATTCAACCTCAGACCAAACACTTGATACGTACTAGCAGTGTGACCTTGGGCAAGTCACTTAACCCCGATTGCCTCACTAAAACAAACAAACAAACAAACAAATTTTGCCTTCAGCTGCTTATTATTTTTCTATTTCTCTTTAAAAAAAAACCCAAACTACCAAATTACTCCCCCCCAGTAGATTTAGGCTTGGTATTCATAAATCATATTGATTTTTATCATTCTGTTCTGTTTTCCGATTAATTTGCTATTGTATTTGTCTTCGAGGTTCCCCAGGAGGTTTTCTTTTAGAATGAAGCATTACTCTATCAGGTACTCATTGCTAGAGCCTTGACCATATTTTTGTATATTGGAGCACAGTACATGTAGGCAGTGTGTACCTCATGTTAGTGAAGTGCTCCTGAAACTTGGACACCTCAATGGATTTGTGATTTCATCTTTGGAACAACTCCCTTTGCCAACTCAGGCTAAAATCCTTGCATCTTATCTTGGCCTTCAGGACTGACTCTTGTTAGTATATTTTCACAAACCACCTCTGGAGAATCCATCAGAAACATGCAGGGGCTACCTTCTTGTCCTTTTTAATGGAACCTGTGATTCTAGTGGTATGTAAACTCCTTCTACCAGTGCAGATCAGTTACCTGGCCAATTAGTGTTAGAGGCAGGACATGAACCCAGGTCTTCCTGACTCTGGGGTCCTCTCTCCAGGCACTATGACATGCTGCTTCTCTTTTCAACATATAAGGATACCAATCCACAATTTTAGTTGTCTATCGTCTCTCATTCTTGCTACATAAACAGCTCTTTTCTTTTCCTCCTACAAAGTGCTTTATGAGGTCATTTATTGAAAGTGATTCTTATTTTAGCTAATGAAGCCCTGGAACCATAGCACCTCAGGATTCTCTTGTTTCTTATAAGCACATTAGGACTGATGGGCTGTATCCACAAGAAGCAAGTGCATTCAAACAAAGTTAGCCTTCGCCCCCAAGATTACTCTGTTCTTTAAATGGCTTAACCCTACTGCTTCTCTACACATCTTATCCAGCTTGAAATTCCTACATTCAGTGAATGTATGTGGTGCTATTTTTAAAACTCTTCTTTTAAAATTGTTTTGAGGTTCTAATGACAGCTCTTGATTAATGAAGATTAAAAGGCCCAGATGTTTATTGTTGTTGTTTAGTAGTTTCAGTTGTATCCGACTCTTCATGATCCCATTTGGGGGGCAAAGATACTGGAGTAGTTGACTGTTTTCTTCTCCAGATCATTCTACAGGTGAGGAACTGAGGGTTAAGTGACTTGCCCAGAGTCACACAGCTAGTAAGTGTCTGAGGCTAGATTTGAACTCGGAAGATGAGTCTTCCTGATGCCAGGCCCAGCACTCTGTTGACTGGGCCACCTAGCTGCCCTCTGATATTTATTACTCCAATAAAAATGCACATACAACATTAGGAAGAGAACATTCCTCTCCTTATTGGATCATTAGCTTGACGCTGTGGTTTAGTTAACAACACATTCTCATATAGAGAGAGCTGCTATTCCTATGACTATAACTGTAATACATACAAGAGCTAGGTACATAACCCATACAAGGTAGGGGACTAGAAAAAAAAAAGTGATATTGCATTGTGCCTGGGGCATCAGTCCCCATGCTTTCTGCTCACAACACATAGATACAGACATAGATTATTTTTACATTTAGTTGCTCCAATACACTTAATGTCTTGTTAAGAAGTACAGAGAAATGTCAGAGTAAAAAATATAACTTTGTGTTTAACTCTGAATTTGCAGATGGATAAATGATTTCCATCCAATTTAATAACAAGCTAGTTGCCATGCTTGGTAGTACTCTCTCCTCTCTTTGTAAAGTTCCTTGATATGATATGTTGGTCCCTTACGTTGTTTTGTGAAAACAAGCTGTGGTTCACCTTTCTTCTCTGACGTTGCTTACCATTGTGTTTTCTAACTCTGTATTTCACACATGTATTCTAGTTATCCGTATTTGGGTTTTATTCCCTGTTAGATTGTACTTACTCAAGACAAGTAAAGCAAATGGGATAATGGTTCCCAAAAGGGAGCAAGGTACGTGACTTCCTATTAAGAGAACACTGCAGAGAGTTTTCTATTAGGAAAAAATTGCTATAGAAAGAGAAAATAATCTGTTCAGGGTTGCTAATGTTACTATCTCTTTTCCATAGCTTACTTTAGGACCAGATCTATGGTGCCTTCCCCAAGAAAAGTAGATTAGTCATGGTAGGGGGATTAATATAAGGCATGAAATACAATGAGCAATATTCCTCCCTTAATTATTTTTAAAATATATATCCTACCTTTTAAATTTAACATTGTTGATGAGACTAAACAAGCCCCATCTTGTAAGAATATCCTGGCTATTTCTTTAAAAATGAACAGAAACAGATAATCTTACATAACAATAGATTACCTTCAACATAGCACCAATATCTCCCAAAAGAGGAAGTGCGATCTGTAATAAGATCAAGTAGACAAATAAATGCACTTAAAAATAAACAAACAATAGAATCTATCCTAAATTTATAACAGTTTGCTATATCCTTGTCATCAGAATAAATGTCATTTTAAGGTCACATATCATCCAATTTGCATATTTCAAATGAAAGAGATCCAATAATTTTATTGTGAAAGAATTACTCTTTTATTGATCTAAACTAATTTTGAAAAACTTACTGCTTCTAATTATCATGGTCATTTCCATCTCTTAAAGTATTAGCATTCATGAATGCATATAATAATCCAGGCTATTTACCTGTTAAGGTTTCATTTGGAAAATAATGACATTTATTAAGAAGCTAGCACTTGGAAGGGTCAAACATCTACCTATCTTTTGACTATAATTGCTATTGGATTGAAACATTAAATGCCCAAACTCAACTCGGGTCAAACTTCTCTAGCTGAATTACAAACCCCAGAAAATGAATGTTTATCACAAAACAATGCTGACACAGTCTGACTTTTCTCTCTAAAATAATGGGAGCAAACAAAACCCCCAGGTAGCAAGGAAACATTCTAATTAGTTGTGATGATAAAAATCTATAAGCTCTGATAGAAGTTTGGCTTCTGTGTGAAATTCTGGGCATTTCAAATACATAAACGAGGCTCAGCTTGCATACATACAGGGTCACCTGGGGGACCTGGCATCCCTGGCTTCCCATCTCTCCCTGGAGCTCCCTGAAAAAAGAGAAGATCATCTTTTAAATTCCTCATGTGGAGATAGGCTTAATATAAAATATTAGAATGTAAACCTATTACTCACATCAGTCCCTGGAGTTCCCGGTAACCCAGGGAGGCCTCTAGGACCCTGAAAAGGCAGAGAAATCATGATTACTTATGACAGGACTCTTCTGACAATTACTGCCTATGAAGCATACTATATTCACTTAACCAAATGACTTAGTAAAGATTCTACCTGAATACCTGGCTCTCCAGAGGGTCCTCTGGATCCCTACAAATGAAAGCACAATCAATCAGAATTCTCTCTTTAGGTATAGATAGGTTAGGATGAGAATTTATTAAATGCCTACTATATGTTAGGCATTGACAGGACTGTAAATTATTTAGATGAATCCAACAACTCTTTGGAAGATTTAACAAAGTCTCCATATAGTTACATAAAACAACCAACCCCATAAATCACATACATATTACAGTTGAAATATTAATGTCTTTAAAATTCAGGTTTTAAAAAAATCACTTCATAGAAATTCCCATTCTTTTCAGCAAAAATATGGCTGTTCAAACAATAGTTGTTGTTCAGTTGTTTCAGTCGTGTCTGACTCCTCATGGTCCTATTTGGGGTTTTCTTGGCAAAGATACTGGAGTGGTTTGTCATTTCCTTCTTCATTTCATTTTACAGATGAGGCAAACACGGTTAAGTGACTTGCCCAGGGTCACACAACTAGTACCTGTCTGAACCCATATTTGAAGTTAGGTCTTCCTGACTCCAGGCCCCGCACACTATCTGCTGCATCAACTAACTGCCCAATAAACAAGACACCCATTTCTTATTTCTGCAGCAAACATTTATCAAGTTGGATGGAGCATGGTAGAGAGGAAAGAACATTGCCTTTTGTGTCAGAATATCAAGGTTCAAATCCTACCTCTGATAACTTACTACTTGTATTGGGCAAGTTATTTAACTTTCCTAGGCCGTGTTTTCTGCACAAATAAAATGAAGGAGGTAGAGTAGACTCTGAGGTCCCTTCCAGCTCCAGGTCTGGGCCCAGGGCTTCTTCTCCTTGCTGTTTTTCATTAGTTGTTTGATGGTACCTCAAGAGCTGGTACACAGTCATCAGGGTAGGACGTAAAACTCAAATCAGTCAATTGTTTCTAATTTTAAAAGTTTAAAATTTTGGGGAACTAAAAGGAAGCTTAGGATTTGTTTAAATATTTTAATTATTTGGACTCTTCCTTGATCCTATAATAATGATAACTGAAAGTGGGAAGATTAACCTCACACTACATGGAGATGAAGCATCTGGATAGCAGCCTTCTGTTCTTTTCTTCTCTTCTTCTCCCTTAGTTTTTCTTCCCTTCCCTTAGTTTTTCTTTCCTTCCTATTCCTCCCTTTCCTTTCCCTTAGTTTCCCTTCCCATTTCTTCCTTTCCCATACCTTTCCTTCTCTTCCTTGTTCATCCTTTCCTGTCTCTTCCCTTTCCTTGCCTTCCCATCCCTTAGCTTTTTTTTCCTTCCCTTCCCTTTGCTTCTCATTACTTCCCTTTCTTTTCCTTAGCTTCCCTTTGCATTCCTTCCTTTCCCACTGGTGATATAAAAGCAAAAGTAAAACGGTCTACCCCTTCAAAAATTTTGTGTTTGGCAAGGGCAACAGCATATATCTCCAATGCAGACGGGAAGCTCCTCTGTAATTTATAGTCTTACAAAGTTGCCTGGGTCATGGACAAGTTAAGTGCATTACCAAGAGTCACATGGCTATCCTGAATAAGAGGCAGGACTCAAACCCAGGACTTCCTGACTCTAAGGCCAACTCTCTCTCCACTATTCCAAGCTGCTTCTTTTCTATCAATTTGATTCTTATTACTTTTTTCTCTTTTTCCTTTGACTAAGAATTCCCAAACTATAATTCTCAAAACTACTTTTTCCTTTGTTCAATCTTCTATTTCCAGCTCTCTTATATTCTTTCTCAAAACAAATTACTTCATTGTGGTCCCCTCCCACCTGCCCCACCTTTTAAATCTCTGGATAAATTCAACAAAGGCCTATTCCAAAAAAGAGTATGGTTAAAAGAACATTTTATTCAACCTTCTTTTATTTTCAAATTCTATGAGTTTTTAAGAGTAATTTTAAGATGTTCTTTCTACTCCTTCCTAATTGCTAGAACTCTTATATGGAAACTATTTCTTATAGTGCTTTATAATTTTACCCATTTTAAAATGTGAACTTTATAATTTATCATAATTGTAACTGGTGTGAATTTAATTACTACTGACAATAGGGGAAAACCCTAGATATACCCAGGATGAAGGTGCCAGCCAAGAAGAGAGCAAACCCACATGTACTTGCCTAAAGGTACATCCACCATATAATCACAGGCAGCAGAGCTTTTATTGGAGAGAAATTGAGAGAAAGGCCATTCAACATTCAGCAGAGGGAGAGCAACTATACAGCTCACACTGCTATAACTATGTTCTCATTAACTGCTGCTCCTGGTAGAAGTACATAATTTGGGTTCTTTAAGGATCAGCATCAGAGTTTCCTTTCATGCTGGAGATCTGATCAGCTGCTAAGGGATATCAATCTGCTGCATAAGTTTCTGTTTTTCTGTGGGTCAGCCTACTCAAGATTGGAACAAGGAAAATGTGCTTTTTTGTGTTCCTGAAAGAGTAGGGATCTTTAGGTTAGGAATTCTGCTAGCCTGTGTGTGTCTGAGGGCAGTGGAAAGGAACCAGGGAAATGATATGCGCTGGTCAGGTTACTAAGGGTTGATAGCCACTGACTAGCACAGCTCTAGCATAAGAGAACCAGCAATGATTCTGAATTACTCTGAATTACCCTGAAGGCTTGACACCTGAGAAAATAGAGAGCACTTTCTGCTTCAGCATCTGTGCCATTGTCAAAGTGTTTTGTAATGTTTTAATAGCTGTCATTAAAAATATTTTAAGGTAAGTTTCTTTTGGGCAGCTGGGAGGCACAGTGGATAGAGTGCCAGTCCTGGACTCAGGAAGACTCATATTCCTGAGTTCAAATCTGGCCTTAGACATTTACTAGCTGTGACCCTGGGCAAGTCACTTAATCCTGTTTGCCTCAGTTTCCTCATCTGTAAAAGGAGCTGGAGAAGGAAATGGCAAACTACTCCAGTATCTTTCCTAAGAAAACCCTAAAAGGGGTCACAAAGAGTCGGACACAATTGAACAATAGGTTTCCTTTGTCCTTATTTTACATGAAAGAAAGGGGGTAAAGTGACTGCCTCCAATCCCATAGTGAGTAAAGGTGGAGTCACTATCAGAACCTTTAGCCCTAGGTCTTAGAAGGCCATTTCCCCTGAACAAATTATTAGCTTTTAAATATATCATTTAAAATATATCATAATTAAGTATACCATGTCACTCCCATGCTCAATAAACTCTAGTGACTCAGTATTACCTCTTAAATAAAATATATGTTTCCTCTACCTTCCTCACCTGGCTTCACCCTACCTTTCCTGGATTATTTTACATCATTCCCCTTCACTCACTCTATAGTCTAGGCAAACTGGTCTTCTCCTGTTCCTCACACGTGACATTCAATCTCCATCTCTACACCTTTGCACTTGCTATTTCGCATACCTGATATGCATTCCCTCCTTATCTCCATCTAATGGAATCCATTTCCTTCAAAAGCTCAATTAAAATAATACCCTTGTAGGGAGGCTTTTCCTAATCTCCAGTACTAGTTCTCCCTTCCTAATTACTTTATATTTATTTTGTATAGATTTCTATATGTACAAATTCTCTCTCCTGATAGAATATAAACTTAAGGGCAGGAATTATTTCCTTTATGTCTTTGAATCCTCTGAGCCTTGCATGGTGCCTGGCACACTGTAAGTACTTAATATAATTTTGTCAATTGAATCAAATTCAACTGTGTGCAGTTCTATGAACCTTTTCTTCTCTATGTTCAGGAGTTTGCTACCCTGACTAGACTAATTTTTTCCAATAATCTTTCCACTGCTTTCACCTTGTTCAGGCCAATTTCATAGATATTCAATTTTGTTCCTTTCTCCAACTTATCTCCTACATTGCTTTGAATTTCTGTGAAGGCTGCCTCCCCTCTTCTCCATAAGTTTGTAATCTTTTCTCCCTCTTTTTTTTTTCTGACAGCCCATCTTTTCTACGAAACTATACTATGACAGTAATCAGGAAGGTCCCTGATCCAAGCAATTTTTCAATAGAATTGGTATCATTTCTCAGATGATATCACCTTTTAAGCCAGCAAATAAGCTAAATGGATTCAAGCATCAGTTAATGGTTAGATTTAAGTGATATCCACATGTCCCTTCTATGATCTCAGATAGTCTAGACAGGCTTAGTTCAGGGACCATGGAAAGTGACCAGGCATCCTTAAATGTCTTGTAGATAGTTGAAAAAATAAGAACAATATCAAGAAGCATATACTATTGGTATAAATGTTCACAAAAGCCCTCAGTTCATTTCTCTTACTGGTTGGCCAGGAATTCCCATTCCTGGAGGTCCGATGTCACCAGGGAGTCCATGAACACCTGGCAGTCCTCTTTCACCCTGTGTAATGAGAGATTTCCACTAATACATACCTCAAGGAGAATGTACTTCTGCTGCCAAACATTGTCAATTTCTTTTAATGTAGAAGTCTTATCATTTTCCTACCTTTGGCCCTCGTGGACCAGGTGTCCCTGGAATTCCATTCAAGCCCTAAAAAGAATGAAGAAGCAAGTAGATGAACAGTATTTTTGTCTCCTTGAAGAATCAAAGATTTTGGAAAGTCAATGTCTAAAATAAGTCACTTTGATCATCATTCCAAGTATGTGTGCTTTTGCCTTTAGGGAAGAAACGTAAAATTTAGGCAATCTACAGATTGGAATGACTTTAAAGAGATGGAAGGTATGTTTTTATTTTAAAATGAAAATATATATAGTAAAACATATTTCTTAGTGGTAGGAATTTATCTTATTAACACTAGAGATAAGTTACAAAAAGGATTATGAAATAGTAATACTATGTACACTGTTTAAAGTTCATAACTACACAGAATTTTCCATGTCCTAGCTAGACCTTAGCCTAGACTAGACGGTTTTTTTTTTTTTTCCTGAAATGACTCTTCACACCCAGCCTCTGCTGGACTTCTTGATGGAAGCTTCAAGATTCTGCATTAGTTCTGGACAGAGCAGGCACAAAAGTAGCACCTTAAAAGGCTTACCTATCATCTAAAGCAGACCTGCATAACTTGGCAATAGGTAGGGACCAAAATTAAAATAGGCTAAACTTCTTCGGCCACAGATAGGTTTTTAGCAGCTTACTTTCCAAGTAAAGGTAACTAGAGATGGGCTGATCATGGTCAGTTGCGCAGGTCATGTGACAAACAGGAGAGAGTGCACAGTGGCAGGCCACCCAAAATCCTTTGGTGGGCAGCACGGGGCCCATGATCTGTATGCTGTGCAGACCTGATCTAAGGGATGAAATAAGGCTACACACATTGATTTGCCCATATGAGCTACTCAAAACTAGAAATATGTATGATTATACAGTGAAGGGAAATATGTATGTTAAGAACCATACTTACTGGTTCACCAGGCAGGCTTATACCTGGGGGACCTGCCTCACCTTTTGGACCTGGATGTCCAGGAGGCCCTATAATTCCACCAGGGTCTCCCTGCAAAAGGTAGAAAACAATGATAAATTAATTATTTAAGTTATTTTTAAAGGAAAGACGCTAGTAGATCACATTAGCTTCCTGACTAGTGTCTCTCTCTTTCTGCTGCCTGCTTCTGTCTCTCTCTGTTTGCTTTGCAAACCTTAAAGCTCTACATAAATGTTATTATTATTATTATTATTATTGTTTCAAAGCACGCATAGTGGCATTGTTATGCAAACAACAATTTCAAATATGTGTTTAATTGGTGGTATCTCTACAATACATTAGGTGAAATAATTTAAAAGGATTCCCTGAGTAACCAATCAACATTAATATCTGTATGCAGCATTAATATCTCCCCTTCCAGTTCCAGGTTAAATTGCTTCTTATTAATGTACTGCTTTAGTAACAGAACCAGAGATGGATTATCAGATTTCACAGATCCTCAGTTCACTACGTCTATAGATTTTTTATGTTATACGTATTTGGGAGTCAGTCCTATTCAACCCTGATTTGTTTTTTTTTCACTTTCCTGAAAGAAGGCTTTTCTGTATCTTTCAAATATATCAAAATATATAATATGTTCAAAAAAATCAAATTGAAATCTTACCTTTTCTCCTTTAATGCCTTGTTTTCCTGGAATACCATGTTCTCCTGGTAATCCCTGGGCAATTCCAAAATAAAGGAAACAAATTATTGAAAAATGATTTTAAGGCATACTTGTTCTTGTGATTCTTAATACTAAGAATGTTACATTAATAAAAGAAGTATAGAGAAATTAGACCATTTGGGATCTATTGGGCCAGGTAAGAGAATCCTAGTAGGAGTACTTGAGCCTACTGGTTTATGTGAGGCCTGGCGGAAACAGTCGATGTACTTATTGACTGATAAAGGGAGACACAGACCTCATTCCCCTCCTGGAAGAATTTCAGCCAAAGTCAAAATGAGAGCAAATGCTTTGGAACATAGTCACATCATGGACAAGGGAGATGGTGGTTCAAGAGAAATTGATTATAACATATGGCAACAATCCTTAGGAAGGAAAAAGGACAGGAATCTTTTTTACCTATTGGCATTTCATATTCTTTTCTTCCTTTTTTGCTTTTATTTTTTAGAAGCTTTTGCCAACCCCTCTGAATTCTAATGCCTTTCCTCCATTAATTATTTTCTATTCATCTTGTATATAGCTAGCTTTGAATGTATTTATTTGTATGTTATCTTTCCCCATTAGATTGTAAGCTCTTTGAGGGCAGGTACTATCTTTTGCCTCTTTTTGTATCACCAGTGCACAATGCCTGACACAATTTATTAAGCACAAGTAGGTGCTTAATAAATGTTAATTGATTGATTGAGATATTAGCTATTCTTATTCTTACCTCTCAGTCAATGTGTGGCTGTAGCTACTATGTTTATGAATCAGCTCTTTTCTCTTTCTTTTTCCTCCTTCTTTCTGCATCTTTTGCTTCCTTTCTTTTTTCTCTCCTTCCTCCCTCTTTTCTCTCTCCCTTTCATTCTTCCTTTCTTCCTTTCTATTTTTTGTTGTTTAATTTATATATTCCTTTCATTATTTTTCTTTAACTCTTTTCCTTATTTCTCACATTCTCTATGTTTATTTCTTTCTCTTCCTTCCTTTCTTTTTCCCTACTTCCCTCTTTCCCTTCCTTTCATTCTTTCTTTCCCCCTTTCTATTTCTTCTCTTACTTAATTTAAATGTCCCTTTCATTATCATTTTAACTTTTGCTTTATTTCTCACATTTCTGTTTCTCTTCCTTCCTTCCATCTTCCTCCTTCTTTCTCTCTGTCTCTCCTTTGATTCCCCCCTTCCTCTCCTATCTCTTACATTTTGCTATTTTGTTCATGTTATTATCAGGTTAGTGTTTTTGTGTTATCAGGTGACAAAATTAATAAAATACTTTTCTCCACACATCACATGACCAAGGTAACATGAGCCTAAGTCATCATGATAAATTATGGACAATTTGCTCTTGAGTCTCTGCTCCAGCTGGGGAAATACATCCATTACCCAAAGAAATCTCATTCACAACATTTGTTGTTTTGGCAGTATTTCCAGGAAGAACAGTTTGGGGGGATAATGAAGTAGATGAAGTGTTTTTAATACTGGAAATTTCATTTGCTCTCTGTAACAGATACTCTCTTTGCCTTTTCCTAATTTCTCTTTCCCTAATATCCTCCCTTGATGTTCCAACTTTATTCCCATCCCCTTCTCCCATGACAGTATTTAGCAAATTCTCACTGGATACAAGTGCCTTGAATTATTTGAAGGGAATGAGTAACAGATATCCAGTAAATAATACATGTGTTTACAAAATAAGAATGCATGAATAATTCCATAACACATACAGAAAGCTTTAGGCTGTATCTCATTTTAAGAATTTCATATCTATAGAATTTAAAGTAAATATGCAAACCTTTACCAAAAACACCAAAGTAGTCCAAATATGCAAGATGATCTAACTGCCCAATTCATGCGCCTGATTCTGGAACCTAAATGGTAGATTTCCCTTCTTTGGAGGAATTCAAGATAGATTGGAATGCCATTTGTCAGGTATATTAGAGCTATGATTCTCTGAGTTGGACTCTGAGTATGAGTTGGACTAACTGAGGTCTTTTCCAACTTTAAATTCTGTGATTCCAACTTTAATGATATTTCTGTTGTTCTGGATGAGTATATTGATGCAAGAGGTGTTTTGATATCTTTTTTCCATGTTTTAGACTCAGACATAATTGGCCAGTAACTACACCAAGACCACTTTTCTTTCAATCCAGTGGAAATATTACTTAATCTTACAAGACTGCTTCACATTTTCTTCTTCATATCCTGGAAGTCTAAAACCAACATTTAATTAATAATAGTTCTAAAGAATCTCTAAGTAGGCTAATGATATTTAAAAGGATCTAGTGTCACAGTTGGTTGTTGACTTCAAGCGAGCAGGTGCAAGCATTTAGTGGAGGTGATGACTCATATCCTGCTCCATCTGAAAATCATACACTTCAGAAAACATAAAATAAAGTGGTCACATGAAGAGATCTTAAAATTCTCAGAAACTATTTTTTGCTTTTGATGGGATTATTGCAAGCTTTTCCCCAAAGCTTTTAGTACATTATATCTCATTTTGCTAAATCAGAAACACAGATCTCTTCTATGCTTACAATATTTGCTGGGGGTCCTCTGGGTCCTACGGAGCCTGCTGGTCCTTGCTGACCCTGTATAAGAAGCTGATATGTGTTTTAGCTCCAAAGAAGATACTATTTCTAAACAACCCCAATACACATAATGACTTCAGTGATACCTTTTATAAATATTAAAGAATTCCTTGGTCTATAGGAATGTGTGATTGTCATAGATATTACTGTCCCATGATAGCAGTTTAGTATACATTACACTTAAAGGGACTCTTTACCGATGTTTCCATTTAAAGAGATCTATTATCAACAGCAGGTGATGCCTGGGTCACATACCTTATCCACTAATAGGGTATATTCTTTGCTAATCTCACTCAACAGCTGCTAGCAGCTGGGAAACTCCTGCAAAAAGGTTCCTACACTTGGAATTCAAGAATCTGGAAACTAGGTAATTGGTATAGGCACCAAGTCATCTAAATTCCCTTTCCTAGTAGAAAGAAATCATTTTAAGGATTGAGAACAAGGATTATGGTTTTTGTTGCCTCTCTTGATTCTTTTGACTTTTAGGTATTTAATGGCACATACAACTTTGGAACCCCCAAAGCATCAACATTATGTTGTAGACCACACGGCACAGATATGGTGAGTATAACAAATGAGTGAATGTACACACCATGGAGAGCACTGTAAAGTCATCAAATCATGTATGACCGACAAACCCACATCTTTTGCTTTAAATAGAAAATTAGAATGTAGGATTTTTTTTCATTTTATCTCTACTATAATTTTATATACCTTAATTCCTGGATTTCCTACAAGTCCAGGGGGACCAGAATCTCCAGGTTCACCCTAAATTGAGAAAGACCAAACATGATTACTTAATATTCAAAACAACTTGAGGAAGCACTATCAGTTTATAGATGAGAAATGAAAATGGTAATGAGATTACCTTCACTCCTGGTGATCCTTTTATCCCAGTTTCTCCCTGTAAATAAAATAATAATAAGCTTAAATTTAAATAGAGATAAATGCTAATTATTCAGTCTATCTGAATAGTAACTGACTGGTATACAGTAGATGGAAAATTTTAGATGCTATGGTAAAGCTAATAAAGTTTCACAGACAAGTCACAATCTAAACGTTGGATAAATTAAGTAAATAATAATTTTTTAATTTTCTTTCTCCTCAGTAGCTACAAAATTTTGTCTTCTGATATAAGTGCCATTTCTTCCACTTCTCTCATAATCATTATTTTTCAATAAAAATGTTATTCTAATATGTAACCTTTTGTACACTTGACACCGCTCAGTATTATTATAATTCAGTGCTAGCTATTCTCATGGAGAATTCAAATGACTAAAAAACAACCAAGAAAAACACTTAAACTAACATGTCCCAGATATTTTGTTTTCATGTAAATATACCATATGATCATAGGATTTGGAGCTGAAAGAGACCTTAAAGATCATCTCTTCCAGATCCCTCATTTTACAGATGGGAACTGAGGACTAGAGAGGTGAAGAAACCTGCTCATAGTCACACAGCCAGTAAGTGGGTCAAGTGGAACCTGAACCTCAGTCTTTTGATTCCAAGTCCATGACTGCCAATGCCAAGTCAACTGCCAATGTTGGATTGATTTTATAGGACCATAAATTCCTAATCACTAATTGCAAAAGAAAATGTGTACTCCCAATAAACAATGAAAAAAAACCTAATAAATGATACCACTTAATAAGCTTCAATACCTTCCAAAGATTAAAGTAAGAAAATTTAGAGTTCACAGGAATCAAATAAAGTTCCCATGGACTCCCCCATCAACATTATTTACTGTAAAAATGCTCCTCCATCTTTAACTACTCCACAGTATGAAATAACCAAACAAATGCTCCTCCATTTTCAACTACTTCACTGTACCCTGTCAGTATTTTATTCTCTTTCCTTTCCTATAATCCATATATTTTGTCATCAAGTCTACTTTTCTTCTCCTAACCTAGGGAATGACAACTAAAATCTAAAAGGAAACAGAAGAAACGGAAAACATCTGAAAGGGAGATGATATCTACTTAATGAATCTCCTTTTCTTCTCTTTGTAAAAGGTTCTTCCTATATATGTGCATAGAAAATCATATCAATTATAACTATGTTATAGATTGACTTTTAGGCATTAACTCTTTAAATGTGGCTGCATATTAGGCCAAATTGAACCCTCCTTTACAAACATTTGCCAACAACAAATTAGCACTGTGGAGAGCACTATATTGTTTCTGTACTGGAGGAGTCTAAGGCTGGTGCATAGCTAGAACTTGGGCATTTTAAGGTGTGGTAGACTGAGCTGATATGATGTTAGCATTAAGTCTTGCACCAGTTGTGGGAACCCATAGGAAGAGAGATGGTACCCTAAGGAAAGGAGAACTGACCTAGGTCTGAAATGGAACAGGTCAAAACTTCCATATCATCAAGTGAGTGGATGTTGTACTTCCAGTCTGGGGAAGACAGGGGGCCTTAATCTCAGGAAAAAAAAAATCCAAACCCCAAACCATAAAAACAATGAACTAGAATGTTATGCAGAATGGCTATGCTAGTTTATGCTAATTAAAAAGTAGCCCACTGGAATTAATTTTGAAAACATTTTTCATATGCATAAAATGGAAAAGCAATTAGTCATTAATATTATTTAGGAAGTTATGAATAGCTGACAAATTATAATGCTGTGAGATTAATGTAGGGGACAAAACAGTCCAAATAAAATCAGAAAGACAGAATGTGTGTGAAAGTTTTAGAGCCATGAAGTAGCAGACCATTATCTTGAATTACCTTTTAATTTATTATTATTGATAAACTTTAACAAAGTTGATAAAAAACAAAATATAATCAATGAAAGCACTTTAAAAAAATAAATGAATGATTTATAGTTTTTCTCTATACTTTGATTATTTACCATATGCTAAAACAAAGGAGGTCAGTGGGCTTTAACTTTAATAAGGAACACTATAATTTGAGATTTGCTGCTTCTTAACACTTTTAAAAATTTAAATGGTTGCAGTTGGCTTGTCTGTAATTCTTTTGACTCTACTTTCTTTACTTTGCATCTATGTATATTTCTCCCCATCTCTTTGATTTCTTCATATGCATCATTCATTACAATTCAATATTCTGTTACATTCATATACCACATTTTATTCAGCTATTCTTTGGTTATGTTTTTAGTTCTAGTCATCTGCCTGCAGATTTTATGCTATGAATGTAAACGAATAAAATACAATTATTAAGCACTTACTATGTGCCAAGCATTGTATTAAGGTTTGGGGATACTAAGACAAAAAAAAGCAAACAAAGCCCCTGCCCTCAAGGAGCTTACATTATAATGAGATAGACTACACATATAGGTGAGTGGTGACCAAGCAGGAGAACTCTAGTCCAAAAGTTAAAAGAATAGTGAATGGAGACACAATCTATCCAGGAATAATAGTGGCATTAATCTGGTAATTTGTAGTTCCTGAATGTAGTGGTTATTGAGGCCATAGAAGAGATGGCTAGAAATGAGGAGTAAGAGAATGATAATGGGGGTCCAAGACCCTATAGCTAGTATATCTAACTGTGAATATTATTATAAAGATAGATCTTTTTTTTCTTGTTAGTGATCCCTTTATAGCATTAGTCTTGTAGTAAACTTGATGGAGTCAAATGGAATAAACAATTTTGCAATTTTTTTTCTCAGAATTCTAAGGTGTTTTCCAAAATAGTTACCACTTCCCAGCTCCGTTAACATCAGCATGCTTGTTTTCCCACAGATCCACCAACAATGAGGTTTTTCATCTTTTAGCATCATTGCCAATTTTATACATATAAGATAATGCCACTGAATTGTTTTAATTTAATTTCCCTGATTTTGAGTAGTCTTTCAAATGGTTGTTGATAGTCTGTGCTTCTTTCAAAAACTAATTGTTCGTCTCTTTTGGCCACTTATTCATTGGAGCATCACTCTTAATACATAAGTTTGTTACCCTTCCCTTAAGATTTTGGATATTAAATTTTTATCAGAAATATTTATTGGAAAGATTTTTCCTAGTTTGCAGTCTAGTACATTCATATACATGATTAGAATTGTTTTGCTTTCCATCCACCACATCGTCTTATATTGTTTTTATAATTAGCTCATTAGTATCAATCCAATCCTAGACTTTGCACAGACCTCCATACAAATGCTCTCCTCCATTCACACAAAACATAGAAACCAGGGATTCTTCCTATATTGATATAATCCTTCCACTATTCTTTACCTTTTAGCCATGTCTAGGTGGGAGTATGGTTTGGAAGTTACTCTCTCTTTCCATTTCCTTACCTCTTCCTTACCTGGTGGAGGTGTGGTGTTATAAGAAGAACAATCGTATTCCTCTACTTTTTTTTGCTTGTTTTTAAAAAAATTTTTAAATTAATTTACTCCTCTACTTTTTAAATGAGGTTTTAAATTAAATGTTCCAAACTTTTGAATCTCATTTTTTCCATTTATTTCAGTTGACTAAAATTTTATTGATGCCTTTTAATGTCACATTCATTTCTAAATATTCTCCTCCTCTCCTCTCCAATGAAGCTTCCCTTGTAACAAATTTTGCCCAGCAAAATGAAACAGCACAACTACATATGACAGTATATGCAATATTCCATACTTGTGGTCCCCCACCTTTTCAACAAAGAGAGGAAGGTACATTTTCTCATCGCTTCCCTGTAGCTAACAATGGCCATTATCCTTCATTTATTTTAGTTCCATCTTTATGTCAGATATTTCTCTGAAAAATATTTCTGTAGATCCAAATGCTCTATAGAGCATTTATTAAACACTTTGTGTGAAACAGTGTTAAGTGCTGGAGATACAAATACATAAGCAAAGATGCTCCTGGCTTTAAAGAGTTTATATTCTAACTGGGGAAACAATATGCATAGGGAAGTGGTAGCCAGGGAAGAGCACTTTGGCTTGGAAAGTTGAAGAGGTGGTAAATAAGGTTATAAAAGAACAGACTGACATACCCCAGAAGTATTCTTTCTGATTGCATTTTTTAGTTTGTCTCATAATATTTATTAATTGTATTACAGACTTTTTTCTTTACTCATTTCTTCTATCATTCATTTTGCATTTATTTGAGGTGATTTTCCCTGTGAGGATATCTTTCCTTTCCTGTCTTTATTTTGTTTTTCTTCTATTTTATCTTATACATTTGGAACTAATTTGAGGTGATGAGAAGTTAATGGAATTCTTAGTTTGAATGCTTTAAAATAGGTAAAGATATGTTTAAATGTATAGAATCATGATTTTTCTAAATGTGCTAGTTTTAATATTTATTTGCTTGGTAAAATACTAAAATATTTTAAAATTAAATGAATTTTTTTTAAAAAAAAGAATTTGTTAAGCACTTAGTGTGGGTCTAGGATTGTGCTAAGAGCTGGTTATACAAATTTAAAAAGCAAAATAAATCACTGCCTTCAAGGGCCTACCCTCTTATAGATAAAACCAACATCTCAGACATTGGTAGCTATAGTGAATCTGGGAAGTCACAGGAATAGTGAGTTAAGTCATCAGGCAATTGAAAGACATATCATTTCAAGGAATGGTTTTGTTGATTTCACTACTGTTCCCAGAGTGAAAAGAGAAAGAAGGAGGGTGAGGAAGGTGGTATAAACATGGTGGCATGGCATTAAAATGTCCAGAGAATAACATGGTGGGTCAGGATGCGACTAAATATGATTAACTCTAACCAATAAGGAACTCAGGGTAGGAGATAGAGTGCCAGATTGTAGGCCAAAGGTTGAAGTTGAGAGATGTGACATAGCATGGAGATGGCCAGAGAGACGTACGTCTTGCATGTGGGAGACTGCATGAGGCTTTTGATAACCCTGACCTTCTCCCTGGTGAGCCCTGGCACAGGTCATTTTCTCCTCTTCCAGGCTCCTCTTTTGGGGGAGAAGGACAGAGTCTTTTGACAGGTGAGTGGGTTGTAGTATAACAGTTTGTTTTAAGCTGAAGGTAGCCTTGAGACCTAAATGGACCTAGAGAGAATTGTCTAAGGTAGGAATGTGAGATATATTGGTGCGTTTCATAAATCAGACTGACTCTCTGTATCTATGGCAACACTATGCTCCTGAGTGTGCAACAGCTCATTCAGTTATTCATCCATCAACAATATTTATTTTGTTCATGTTGCCCCATTTTCACATATGGCGCAGTAACAGCTAACATGACATTCCCAGTCTTCTCCTGATTTTCTTCAGCAATAATTGTATTTAAAAAAATGAAATGAGAAGAAAAATGTAGCTAGTCATTAAATTGGTTGTATGGTACATACATTTTGAAGCTTGTACGACTGATGTAATGTTAAAAAAAATCCCAGAATGTTGGGAATTTGAAGAGACTTCAGAGATCATCTAATCAAATCCTCAAAGAGTCTTTCACAGATGGCTATCCAGCCACTGCCTAGACATGCTCACTAGCACTGGTTTTGCTTTCACTCTTACCCCATGGTTCACTAGTAGAGGTAAGGGATTGAAATGCTCCTTGCCCACCAGAGCCACTTCTGGGCTTCCCCTCTACCACCATCATTCAGTAATTTCTCCTTCTTTGAGGTTTATGCAATTCATATTTAACACCCAGTTGAGATACCATTAACTGTTGTCTACTGGCCTCCAGAATCTCCTTCTTTTCTCAACTAGTGTAGTGCCTGACTCATAGTACTTATCTTCTTCCCAACTCCTACCTCACACTAGGGTATTTCTATATACATATTTGTATTCCCTCAAATACCCTAATTTCCCAATTACTCAAACTAATCATGTCTCACAACCTGTTCCTCCCCCCGACTTCTGGGACACACAGAGATGGTCAGTCAGTCAGTAATCACATTAAGTGCCTACTATGTGCCAGGCATTTTGCTAAGCACCAGGGATACAATGAAAGAAAAAGACAGCCCCTGCTCTCAAGGTGCTCACAATCTAATGGGAGAGAACATGCAAATAACTATGTACAATCAAATTATTTACAGAGCAAATTCGAAATAGTCTAAAGAGGGAAAACTCAGAAATGGGAAAGGAATCCTGTAGAAGGGGGGATTTTA